AAAAAATGTAAACCTGAATGCTGTTTTCATGAGAGCTATACATAGCTAGTCCTGGTGGGCTGTTTTGAGAATGTAGTAGGAGTAGATAAGACCAATCCTTTTCATGACCTTCAGGCAACAACCCCTTTTGAACAGCTGTCCCCCACTGCGCCATTCTCTTCACCTGGAATAGATGGAACTGCATTCTTTCCAGTGTTAGAAACTGACATATGAAAACTAGGAGCTGAATGGCACCTTAAACCTAGGTTATGAGCACAACAATGGAATGTCTAGCCACACTTTTTTAATCACAAGAATACAAAGCTGAAAATGAATGAACTGCAGCTAAAATATTATGTTTGTTTTCCACATGGTCTAGTCCTTCCCCTCCCCGCCCACCTAATATTCCTAAGAGGGTCTCTTCTCCAGTCTTCAGAAAGTAGCTGGTAGTGGGGAGGCAGAAAAAGTTCCTCCTTTCTTTCCACTCTGTAGTTTTAATCCAAAATCTTAGGCTCAGTACTGCACCCAGAGCTCAGAAACTACTCGCACTAATGAAGTTTCCTGTCGCAAAATGCTCCTAGAACAATGGGTGTTTCGAACACTGATTCTTTCCTATTGTTTCAAGATGCCACGTAGCGCATCTTCCCCACATCATTCTTCCTTGCTCTCCCACCTGCTTATTATGTGCTTTTCTGGATTGACTGTTGAGATGCTACCTGGTTTTATAACTTAATTCATGCAGCTAGAAAAAACAGATCAGTGTCAGCATTTCAAGCTTTTGACCTGCTTCTGCTTAGGGAAGAAACATTGCATCTAACTTCCTGATCTATGCTGCTCAGCCAGAGAGACTTTTACAAACTGATGGTAATTTCTTGATCTGTGCTGTAAATTCTAGCTGAGCTTGTGGTTTTGAATACCTTGATATTGAATCCTTTTCCCTTTCCATTTCAGCTTCCTTTTTACCAATCACCTCATTTTTGAAAAGTTTCTTTTTTTGAAGTGAACTGTAACTGTCTTGGCGTTCCTCATTTTACAGAGGGGTAAAATGACAAAGGAGAAAAGAGAATATACCAGGAGGAAGGTGATCAAAGTCTATCTAAATAAAAAACATCTTTAGATGAAAAACTGCAGCACTCGGGTGTCAGGACTCTTGTTTCTGTGTCAAGGGTCAGACGGAGACTTCTGATATAAAGCTGTCCCTGTAACCCCCATGTCTGTTTGGGGGGGGTGTTACTGGTTTGTTCTGTTTTTGTTTGTTTTTATTACGTATTACGTGTTTTTATTTTGTATTTTTATGCTGTGAACCACCCTGAGATCCTCAGACAAATTTAATAAATAAAATGTAAGACACAGCTTGTGTCCTAAAAGGATATTTTGTGAAGTTTAAAACTGAGTGGCTGGTGCCTTGTTCAGTCCTGTATCTTTGTTACCTTTGTCCTTTCTATATTGCCCTTTAAGATACATAATGTCATCAGGACAGAAGCAGTCTTCTCTGTTCAGTCAGCAAATATGTTGGTCTAGTACAGGGGTAGGCAACCTAAGGGCTGAGGGCCTGGAAGCGGCCCAATCGCCTTCTCAACCCGGCCCGCGGACATTCTAGGAATCAGCATGTTTTTACATGAGTAGAATGTGTGCTTTTATTTAAAATGCATCTCTGGGTTATTTGTGGGGCATAGGAATTCGTTCATCCCCCCCCCCCAATATAGTCCAGCCCACCACATGGTCTGAGGGACGGCGGACCGGCCCACTGCTGAAAAAGGTTGCTGACCCCTGGTCTAGTAGTTACAGTGGTACCTCAGGTTACATACGCTTCAGGTTACAGACACTTCAGGTTACAGACTCTGCTAACCCAGAAATAGTACCTCGGGTTAAGAACTTTGCTTCAGGATGAGAACAAAAATTGTGCTCTGGCGGCGCGTCGGCAGTGGGAGGCCCCATTAGCTAAAGTGGTGCTTCAGGTTAAGAATAGTTTCAGGTTAAGAACGGACCTCCGGAACGAATTAAGTACTTAACCCGAGATACCACTGTATTCCTCAACAGAGGCAGGAAGCTATCTTATAACAAGTCAAACTGCTTGTCCGTCTAGCCCAGCTGCGTGACTGGTAGTGGCTCTTCAGAGTATTGGGCAGAGGTATTTCCTGTGCTTTCATCCTTTTGTTACCTTCTTCCCTTGCTAAGGATCTTATTTCAATTAAGGATGCCATGTGCAGGTGGCATCTGTATTCTGTAGTGCTACCTTCCTAAATGTAGCCTGCTCCATGATGTAAAAAGGGGTAGTATTTATATCAAGGACACATTGGCACTCTTTGTCTACACAAAGCTGTATTTTACACACTGAGCCAATGGTAACACATGTGTCCTTTTTCAGTTTCTTCTAACTTTGTCTCCTGGACATTTTAATGATATTCTAAGCTCTAAAACAAGACTTAGATGTCAGAGGAATATTCAAATGGATTTTCTCAAATTATATTCCTCTTATCCATTTTTAATGCTGCATCAGAATATCATGGCTATATCCTCAGTTGAGGGTGAATGTGAAATGCTATCTGACTAATCTCCTTGTGCTGCCACTACTTATTAACTCTGAGAATTGTGTTTAGTGCATTTGCCCATTTTCCTATACATGGCTGACAGGTGACTGAGACAATTTGTGTTGATTTCAGTAAGCCATTTCCCCCTTTATGGGAAAGATTTAGAAGACTGCAAACTCTGTAATCAATCCTATTTTGTTAAATTACTTTGGCAGACTGGGATTGGGGCCAACGGTCTGTAGACCATGGCTGGTCTTGATAGCCAGTCCATGGTAGTTCTTTCCCATTCTTCCCACTTCTTCAATCCAGTGTCAGATGTCTAAAAAGCAGCAAGAAGTCTTGCAGTGTTGTTTCCAAGATTCAGCACCCAATTCTTCAGGTGCCTGAACACATGTGGGGACGTTCCTGATTTCACACTGGCAACAAGCAGTCCTGCTGTTAATTTAGTATCTCTGGAGTATAAAGTGAGGACACGACCCTTCTATAGGCTCAGGGAAAGGGTTGGGAACTGCTTGATTCTGTGCACTAGCTAAACAAAAGGTTCATTTGCCAGTGATGAAGTGTATTTGCAGATCTGTGTTCAAGATGAGCATCTTTACATAGGGCCATAGGCCCAAGGCTTGAGGATACCAAGTGGGGATTTTTTTCCCTTTGAACGTTGAATATGTGCGCACACACACACCTTTCCCATGGAGAACAATAAAGATTGTTGTTGTTTAGTCATTTAGTCGTGTCCGACTCTTCGTGACCCCATGGACCAGAGCACGCCAGGCACTTCTGTCTTCCACTGCCTCCCACAGTTTGGTCAAACTCATGCTGGTAACTTCAAGAACACTATCTAGCCATCTCGTCCTCTGTTGTCCCCTTCTCCTTGTGCCCTCCATCTTTCCCGACATCAGGGTCTTTTCCAGGGAGTCTTCTCTTCTCATGAGGTGGCCAAAGTATTGGAGCCTCAGCTACAGGATCTGTCCTTTCAGTGAGCACTCAGGGCTGATTTCCTTATAATAAAGACAGGAAGGTTCATTTGCTCAAAATGCCTTGTGTGTCTATATATTGTTGCTTGCAAGTATGGTAGCTTAATGCATTCACTTGCCTTTATGTTGACTTAACCAACTCCTGCCTTTTCCTGTACCTGTGTTGTCATGCGGTCAGTTTAGAAACCTGTTGCTTTGAGAGCACTCACAGACTTATACTTTGTGTTCCCTTTACTCCCCACAAGCAGATTCCATTCTCCTCCTTCCTGGCTTTCTCTCACCATAGTTCACAATGGGTGAAATCAGGCAAAGTGTGTTTGGTACTAACTTGGATTATATTTGATTGGGTCCTGAAACATCAATGTGTAGTATCTGCTTAGTATCTGCAGTCTCTGATATATATAATCTACTCATTTCTGAGGAAGTTTCTACATTTTTAAGGAAAATGTAACTTGTGAGCCCCAGTACATATGCACACGTTTCAGCTTGCAAGCCTTTTCATTTATGTGGATGGTGACACAGGCTTATTGGAAAAGTTTGCAAGCAGCAAAGAAGTGTTGGGTTGGTAATTGGCTTGTTAGTGATGTGTGAAAACTTGCAAGTTTTACAGTAATGAATATAACCTTGAATTTCTCAGCTATTTGTCAGCCTGTATGTTCCTGTGAAATAGTCTTTTGGGAAAATGGAGTGCTACATGGAGAAGTCTCAGAATGGATTTATTTTTAAACGGCATTCAAAAGATGTTTTGTTCTTGAATAGCATCTTCTATTTGAGCATGCACTATTCTCCAGAAAGAGGAACCAGGAGAGTAACTGGTGGAGCAAAACCCAGGCAGTTTGGGCTTCAATTTAGTTCAACTTCATATTGCAAGGTGTTGGAAAGAGTCTTGCTTTTCTGCTAGTTTTCTGCATGTCCGTACTAAAACACAACTGCTAAATACTTTGACTCCTATAATGTAATATATAAAACAGAAATAAATTGCGCCAATGCAGCATGTGTTATTGGTACATTTCTGTCCAAAATAAGGTATTAAATAATAGTGATACTTCTAAAATTGCATTGATAGAATAAAATAGTTGCAGCCAAAGGACTGGCTCAGGATTTATTTTTTTAAAAGAGTTCCTGACTTTTGTACCTCTAAACCATTGGGTAACTAACAAATGCAAACTTTTGAATTGGGTTCTGTGACTGAAGTTTATGTCTTGATCAGAGTACAGTTGAACACATCATATGATATAATTCACTGTATTTCGTTCCGATCAGAGAAGAGGCTGGGTTGTCTTGCATTTGACTTTTAATATGTAAACATTTGTGATGTGAAATATGTACTTTTGACATCAGAAACCAATTTTAATGTTTTTCCATTCTAGGCTTTCGTTACAACTGCACAGTGCATGGTCGTGGAAAAGAATTTAGGCTTTAGTCCTGGAAGACAACTATCTATCATGTGCTAGGAAACAAAGTTTGTGGATACTTTTACTTGTGTGCTTCTGGATTATAAAGAAGGAAAGTGAAAATGGGGAGGAAGAAAATACAGATCACAAGAATAATGGACGAACGGAACAGACAGGTGAGAAATAATAATGTTAAGCAAAGGTGGTCATTTCATATGGCTTCCCCAATAGCAGAGTCCTCCTCATCTCCTTTTCCTCTTGTGCCATATCTATTAGATGGTAAGCCTGTTTGGTGATTTGTCTTACTTTTATTGATCTTATGCAGTATAAGGTGCTATGGAAGGTTTTTTGGCTGACGAATGGGGATAAAATGCTTTAAGTAAGTAATTGTGTCATTAATTTGCCAATAACTTGATTTAACGGCATCTGGCTCCACACACTTTGTTGACAGAGCAGATACAGTTTGAGTCATGTGTGCGTCATGTGACCAAACGACCAATAAGAAAAAGTATAAAATACAGAATAATAACTAAGATCAGACAATCCTAGCAGTTCTAAGGCATGACAACATTTAGATCAGTGATGGCCAAACTTGGTCCTCCAGTTGTTTTGGGACTACAATCTCCATCATCCCTGACCACTGGTCCTGTTAGCTAGGGATGATGGGAGTTGTAGTCCCAAAACAGCTGGAGGGCCAAGTTTGGCCATCACTGATTTAGATATTTTCTACCAGCTTCGTAAATTGCATCTGCCTAATATTGTTTTTTAATTGGTTGGCCTCTTTTGTTGTCTGCTCCCCAACCCCAACATATTAATGTGGCAAAATTCCATTGACACGGATACAAATTTCCATTGACACGGATACACCAATCTATAAGAGAGGCTCCAAAGCGGGCCCTAGTACTCTTTTCTCTCAAAGTTTACTACCAAAAAGAGGTTTATGCCAGCTTCCTGTTGAAACTATCGACACTTACTGACTTAAGGAGGTGGTGGTGGAAGATATCAGTTTAACCTATTGGCAAAATCATACACAAACTTGTATCTTTTATGGGGGGGAAACCCCCAGCATCTGACATTAAATCAGCATTTTAACTGTATTTGTTCAGTAAGATGAATACAGTAGTAAGGAAACTTTTCATGTTTTCAGCCAGTTCTTGTTTAGAAATATACTATTGCTATTATTTAGCTGTACTTTTATTATGTGTGTTCCTTTACAGACACAAGATAGTGGCAGTGCTATCTGTCTTAAACTATTATTACTAAGTACATAGTGAGGGAAGTCTTAAAACATTCCTCTTCAGATAGGATTATACCTCAGCTCTATCCTGTATACAAAGTAACTGATACTCTGGGGGATTATAATTAACATGAGACTGTCATTGTAGTGGTAATTACAAACTCTTATCTGCCTGAATGAGCTGTAGGCCATTTATATAATTGAGCTAGATGGAATAAATGGTTGTAACTGGGCTATTAAAGGGACTCAGTGTCAGCATCATCAAATAGTCTTCTTTGTTAACAATTAAGAGAGAACTTTTCCCTATAAGAGAACTTTTCCCCATTAATTAAGTGTATAAAAGCATTTTGCAAATGCTTATCAGGTCTGTGACCTTATAAGAATTTTTTGTTATGTTTTTGCAAAGGCAGAACATTAGATTCTGTAAACATTAGATTCTGTAAAGCCCCTGATGGACTTAATAAAACACTGAGAAGGCTTGCCCTTCACTGTTGTGCAAAGTTGAAATCATTTTATGCATTATTCTGGTTTTAGATGTTTTTATTGCAAAAGAGGAAAATTGGCTGTTCACTTGAAGCTTGCGTATAGTGGTTCCACTTACGATTCAGTCTAAGATGGATTGCTTTAGTGCGGGCAAATCTCCATACAGTGTCAGTGAAATGGTTGGGTATGCAATACATGTGGGTGGGCTGAGATTAACTATTTGTCCTGAAGAAGTACCGTAACTGCTTGTCCTGAAGAAGAAAGCTGCACTTGAGGCCACCCTTATAAGATACTCAGTGGGTGGGTGACATCCACTGCTTTACTTATCTAGACTGTTCCTTCTCTCCACCCTACCAATTGCTTATCATCTCCCCTACTAATCTAACCCCACCACTGGAGCATTTGTTAGAGTGTTTAATGAGACACCCAGGTTTATATACTGTATTGGCTCAGATATAAGCCTCACCTGAATATAAGCCGCATCTTTAAAATTCAAGGGAGAAAAAGAAAAAAAGACAATACCCAAATATAAGCAGCTCCCTTAAAATTCAGCAGGCACTCACACCCGTTCTGTTTTACCGTATGTTTGTTTCAGCAGTGATATCGTAAAAGCCAGTTTTTGTAAGGTCGTGAATTTAAGCCACACTTTAACTTTTCACGGTCAGAATTTGGGGGGGGGGGGGGAAGCCTTATATTCAGGTACTGCCTGCCTTATACTTTGAGCCAATTTGATGGTTTTGCTGTTGATGTTTAAAGCCCTAAACAATGTGAGACCAGGATACTTTGATGAGTGCTTCCCTGGATCATATTAAATTAATCTTTAAGATCTTAAGAGGAGATCCTGCTAGCTGTTTGATGACTAGTGGATTGTCACTTGAAGATGACTTTATCAGTGACAGCACCCCCCATGGTCTCTCTCAGGTAATTTGTCAGGTGGTGACAGGAATGATTTTTAAAAGCCTTTTGAAAATTTAACTTTATGCAAACTTCTCTGGACTCTTGATGCTTACATTTAAAATTTTTATTTAGTATACTGCTCAGGTTTATTTGTGATACACAATTGTCTATTTTCTTGTTTTTATTTACTTTTTTAGGTGATTTTATTGAATGTTGTTGGCATTCTTACTGTTGCAAACAATTTATGAACTTTTATTAAGAGATATGCATGGATTATCATGTTGTTCAAATGGTAACTTTATAACACACGGAAACCAAGTTGTGTATAGCTTGTTACCATGTAGTTAGAAATCACGGGATAAGCCTCAATTTATTGAAAATAGTCACAGAGCAGGGGTGTGTCTGAAGAACTTGTCACTATGTGATTATGTTGTTATTTTGCCACAGTGGAGTGTGTTTTTCCCTGTGAGACATAGGTTGGGTGATTGGCTCACAGTTGCTGCCCAAACTATGCAGTTTTCTAAAGGCAATTTGAAGCAACTGGCATCCTGTAAGGGTAAAATGAGAAGGTGGGAGGAGAGCCATGTATATCACTCCGTGCTCTTCGATGGATTAAAAATGTAATGTCTTTTTGGCACTGAGCATTATATGGATATAGAACTAGATAATACATTTTGGTAAATTTCCTTGTCTGCTATGTGAAGCAAAAGAGAAACTGGGGTTTGGAAGAAGTTTGTTGCAATTATTGTGAGTGCCAGTTAACTGGGTTAGTGCGATTGCAGAGGGAATACTTTTCCACATGTCTCCTCTGTATCTTTACAGTCTGACCCTTAAGTATAGTAGTAGTTGTCCATTTCAATGCGTAATACCTACCCTAAGTAACAGCAAAAGTAAATTTGTTGCATTTCATTTTGTTTCAGCGTTTGAAATGGTCTAATTTCAACTCTCCTTGAGCTGACCTTTCATAAGCATAGTCTGTGTTAATAAACTTCTTATTTACATCTATATACCTTTTCTATGCTGCAAGCAGTTTTACATACAAATATCACAGAACATTTAAATACGGCAATTAAACATAAGATGCCAAAATCAAAAAGCTTGTGAAACTTTGTAAACATCAAATGAACTTGGAACTGCCTATTAATTGTCTCCAGAAGCCTTCTGAAATAAGTCTTGTAATCTCTGCAAAAGGTCCTAAGCAAAGAGGTGTATTTGACCTTATAGCAGATGTCTTTACTTCAAAACTGACGAACTGTCCAGGCAGCTCAAGGGAGAAATGATCTTCCAGGTTATTCTCCATCATTGAAGGAGTTCAAAATAAGAACCAGCAGCTTGCACTTGGGCCCAGAAACGCCAGATAACTAGTACAGTTCAATTTATTTTTGCTTCCCAAGTGTTCATTAGGTGGTGAGCTACAGCATTCTTCACCTGCATGAGCTTCGGAATAGTTTCCATTGACAATCCCTATAAAATGCATTACAATAAAGGCAACTCCCATCGTACATGCGGATTCAGTTCCAAGGGTTATGCATATAAAGCAAAAATTGCTTATACGGTAGGTAAAATTGCTTGCAAAGCCATTATTACTCACATTATAGGTAGGGCATGTGCTTAGTCCCCCTCTATGGGAGGAAGAAATAGCTGCCCTGCAGCTAGGCAGCCCACCTTCTATAAGACTGCCTGTAAGGGGCAGGATCAGAGGTGGGAGGAAACTGGAAGACCCAAGCAGACCCAGTGCAAAGAGAGCTTTGTAAGTTCGTGGCCTTCCAGGCAAGTCCTACTTGGCACACCCTGTGTTTAGCTAGTGGTTCAGTGGTTCTGGGAGTGGTGAGGATGCTCTTATGGGAACTCAAATTGTTCTGAGTGTTCTTGTGAGAGCATCCCCACCACTCACAGAGTCCCCATTCTGCCAGCCCAAAGAACCCTGTTTCCAGGGTGTACAGAGTGGTACTTGCCCAGGCAGGTTCAGGTTTGTGGAGCAACAGAAGAGAGGAGGAAGGAGACAAGCAGAGAGAGAGAAAGCCAAGCACATATAGTCATGTGTAATGTGCATAAGATGCAGGTTTATTGCAGTCCCTTCTAGAAGTTACAGAAGTACAGTCATACCTCGGGTTACAGACACTTCAGGTTGTGTGTTTTCAGGTTGCGCACCGCGCCGAACCTGGAAGTACCAGAATGGGTTACTTCTGGGTTTCGGCGCATGCACAGAAGCGCTAAATCGTGCTTTGCGCATGCGTGGAAGCACCAAATCACGACCTGCATGTGTGCAGACGCGGCACTGCGGGTTGCAAATGTGCCTCCCGCACAGATCATGTTCACAACCCAAGTGTCCACTGTATGTACAAGAGTAGCACAATCCTGTGTTGTCAAAAGGGGCTGGAGCGGACAAAAGCCACTCCTGGTCACTGTCTATGCTTGTTCAGGAACAAAAAAGAGCACCACCAAGTGTCAAACATGTTCAGATGCAGTGATTACCACCTCATCTATCACAAGCACAATTGATCCCTCCAAACATTGGAATTACCTACCAAGAGCAGCTCTCTCTTTCTGCTGGATGAGCAGATACCCTGAAACTGACCTTTGGGATTTACATGCTTCTATTCAATCTCTGTCCTTAAATTACAGTGTTTTGTTGCTCTGAATGTATACAGACAAGACCTGCATGTGCACTACTCCCCCAGCCCTGTCCTTTTGAAACTGTGGGAAGGATACCGCATGGGAAGGAATCTCCTTTCTCCCCCTCCCCCCCATCATTTTATATCACCAAAGGTTTGTAAGCATGTCCTGTGACCTGCTTCAAAGTAGTCTGAAGTTAGGCAAGAGAGTTCTTACTGCTTCTGGTCCATATTTTACTCCTCACCTACCCAGAGCCTTTGCCTTTGCCATTGGGTTTCACAAAATCTAAAACCACTTGTAAATTTACTGTTTACAAATCTGCCTGTTTTTATTTTCCAAAGGGCTTATGGCTTAAGCTCTGTAGCTCCTTGAACAGTTACCTATGTCCACAATAGTATAGCTTTAGGAATTTTGTATCCCAAAAACATTTTTTTATCAGCACAAGCACATAAACTACTTTAGCAACTTATTCTTGAAAATGGTTAGCAATTGTATGACAACAGTTTTTACTTGAAGAAATCATTTCAGCTTATGGAGCTAATGCAGGCAGCCTAATGGAAAACCCAATTCCATCTGTACTTAGAGCAGTGCTGCTGGTGCATTGACCTAATTGTAAAGCTCATTATCTGAGTCAGATAAAATTATTAGCTGAGAACAATAACTAAATCATAACTCTTCTGATTGATGCTTATTTAACTTTGAGAATCTTTTAGTCACGGGTTATATGTTATCACTTTTTAAAGGTTGCTGCTGTGAGCCGAAATGTAAAACTTTTCCAGTTATTTCTTAAGTGCATTTGTGACTGTTATTATTATTTATTGAATTTATATCACTCTCCTACTCATTTAATCCCCACAACAACCCTGTGAGGTAGGTTAGGTCAAGAGGCAGTGATTAGCCCAAAGTCATTCATTGGCCAAGTGGGATTTGAACACTGCTCTCCCAGATCCTAGTCCAGCTCCCTGAGCACTACACCTCACTGTTTCTTTAAAACTCATAAGAATAAAATGAATACTTCCAAGAAAATCTTGGGTAAGGTATTAATAGATGTTCTGTCCACTGGCAGAATATTGTAATTGGTTTAGAATGAAGGTTCCCCCATGTGGTGTCCAGGGACAACATGGCACACTCAAAATGCCCCCCTGTATCTGCTGAGGGTGCCCTACCCCCCCATTTTTAAAACTGAGATTTTAAAGCTTTCTGTTGTTGCTGATGTTTAGGTGGGCGGACTGCCTGCTCCTTTTTGTGGGGTGAGGGTTGTTGCCTGCTTTTTGAGAGGGGTTTATTTGTTTTTGCCCAGGAGGTATTTTGCTATTTTGAAGAAGGGAATCTGAGCATCACCAGTTTTCTTCTAAGAAATGAGTATTTCACAGTACCTCCAACAGTTTACTAGATTTCCTGATGTGCTTCTATGCTGCAAAGATTTGGCTTACAATATGTAGGAAGAATTGGTTCTGCTGCTAGAGGCAGGTAGACAGAGTCTGTTCTGTTTTTAGAGCTGCTAACCACATATCACATTCACCTCAGTCATTTCTGTGGGTTTCTTAAATTATGCAGATGAATTCCTGAATAGAACTTTGTAGATTAGACATGCTTAAGCTCTGTCTTTGGCAGGTCTGGATATTCTTTTTCTAGTTACAGTATCTGGTAGACAAACTCCCCACCCCGTGAAGTTTGCCATGAAATAATTTCATCTAGGAATGCATTCCTAACAGGGCTATGTGAACTTCCTTTCTGGATGTGTGCCAGATTTGTGTATATCTATGTACTTTATTTGACTCTTGGTCCCACTTCTTACACACATTTGGCCAGTGTCCCAGAAAGAAGCACGAATGAGCACATGGACGGATTCAGATAAAGAACAGCTTTATAATGCTTTGGTTTATTCTTCTGCAGTAGAAATTCTGTGTTCCTGTGGGACCAACTTGGTTGTGTTTCTGTGGGAAAAGCCTGAGTCTTGGAGCAGTTTCACACACTAGCTTCTATAATGGAATAGCTTTTAGTAACAACAATAAGGAAGGCTATCCTAGATTCTCTACATTCCTTAGATCACTGATGGGAATCTGTGGCCCTCCAGATGTTGTTGGACTACAACTACCATTATCTCTGACCATCTGAGGGTGATAGGAGTTTTGAGTAGAACTACTTGAAGGGTTGCATGTTCCCAACCCCTGTACTTCAGACAGATAATATATCTGCTTTGATTAAGAGCACCGTTTAAGCTACGTTACTCCCATGCTTGAAGAACCAAAATGTTCATGAAATGTGTGTGAAAGTTGTGTGTGTTGCCCCTCAAACATTCTGTTTTGTTTTAGTCTCCAGACATTTGCACAATGAATTACCGGTAGATTAGTTTAAAATTTACTGGGCCTCTGCTTTCTAACCAGGTTTATTGGTTTGTTCTCTGTTGCAGATACTTCCCCCCTCCCAAGTCACACTGACCTTGTTGCACGTCCAGCTCAGGAAGTGACAGTCTGGTTATTTATGCCTGTTTTGCTTGGCCAGGATATCCATAGTGAGCTAAATGACTTGGGAGCTCAGGAACTCTCTGCCTGACCTTCCTATAGCATCAAATTGTGGCTGAAGGCATAAACATGGGATGCAGAGTGACAAAGTTCAGTTGGAGGGGGCCAGTTGAGCCGTCTTGAGAGTACACTTGCTTATTTTATTAAACAACATTTATATACCATGTGATTGTAAGAAAACCTCTAATCAATTTACATCAGGGCATGTTGTCTGTAAGCCCATAGGGCAACATAAGTTCCCTCTGATGTAGTGGGTATTGAATAGTGCCAACACATTATTGGATCCCCTTTCCTTGTGTAATCATTCACAACCAGGTGGTTACATGGCTTAGCTGGCATAAAACCTAGATGTAACCTTCATGTAACAAGTATATTACCTTGTATTTAGCTGTTACTTGAATTTTATGTCCTGGTTTCCCAAATCAGCTTGGAAACCTGGAAGACCTGCCCGCTGCCTTGCTAGCCTCTTTCTATTTGGCCTTGGAGTCAGGACCCTGACTGACTTCAGCTAAAAAAGCTGAGGCTGCTGAGCAAACTCTTGAGCTGGGGTATTTGGGGGGAAGTTTTGTTGGGAGTTTTGCTGCTGTTATTGATATTAATTTTTTATATCTTTATTTTTATGTTCAGTTTGGTTATACAGATTTTGATGTGTTTCATTTATTTTTAATGACTACTTTGTTATGTTTCTAATTATGTAAATCTTTTCATATTGTAAGCTGCCTTGAGCATTGTTTTAACTATGGAAAGGCGGTATACAAATAAACTGATGATGATGAATTCAAACCTATTTTGCTCATATGTTTAAAGGTGGTAATTTGAGGGTCCGTTTGTAATGAGTGCATACTCACTTACATTGCTTGCCAGTGGGTTTTCTCAAATTCCTTTCTCACTTCTTCTGTCTAGGTGACCTTCACAAAACGGAAGTTTGGATTAATGAAGAAAGCCTATGAACTGAGTGTGCTTTGTGACTGTGAAATAGCACTCATCATTTTTAACAGTTCTAACAAACTCTTTCAATATGCCAGCACGGATATGGACAAAGTTCTACTCAAGTATACAGAATACAACGAACCCCATGAGAGCAGAACCAACTCTGATATTGTCGAGGTAACAAAACTGTAACCATGAATGAATCCTCAAACCTCATTTAGTTTTAGTAAAGCCAACCATACCCTTCTGTACAGTAACAAAGTAATTAATTTCAATCAACAGTATTTTAAATGATACATTACTTTATCCAAAGCTCTCCAAGATGGGTAACAAACATGAATAAATGGAGGCTGCTCCTGAAGGAATCTGTCTCATAAGGGATTGCATGGATTTAACTGAAACACACCAAAACTAGGAAGCACCCAATGATGACAAACAGAAAGGAGAAATATATTGCAAAGATGCTAAATGATCACAAACCCTTCTGTTACAGAAGAGCTTGTATGGCACGAATTCACTAAGGAATAAGAAAGCAAGCTCTTGATAAAAGCATTCTTGCTGAAATACACTGAGCATATTGAACAATAACATATTCTATCTTCTTGGCGTCTTTGAGATATACCATATATACTCGAGTATAAGCCAACTTTTTCAGCACATTTTTTATGCTGAAAAAGCCCCCCCTCGGCTTATACTCGAGTGAGGCAGGCAGCGGTAGTGGAGGGACGAGCGGCCCGAAAGGAGCCCTTTCTCGCCGCTGGTCCCCCTGCTGCTGCCTGCCTGACGCAAGGGCAGGCACAGGAGCTGCAGTTGGGAGAGGCGCTGCACTGTGCCTCTCCCAACTGCGACTCCTATGCCTGCTCTTGCGAGCGGCAGAGGCGGCGGCGGAGGAATGAGCAGCCCGAATGCAGCCCTTTTGGGCTGCTCCTTCCTCCTCCTCTGCCTTTGCCGCTGTCAGCGATGGCGGCGGAGGAACAAGCAGCCCGAAAGCAGCCCTTTTGGGGTGCTTGTTCTTCCTCCACTGCTGCCGCCACCACCAGGTTTGTGGTGTGGTGAACCGGCTTATACTCGAGTCAATAAGTTTTCCCAGTTTTTTGTGCTAAAATTAGGTGCCTCAGCTTATATTTGCGTTGGCTTATACTCGAGTATATACGGTACTTCCTCTTTTTGTTTGTCAATGTATCAGCATTCTTTCCACTTTAAAGCTGAATATCTGGGGCTCTTTACTGTTTTTTGCAGGTTGTGTTAGCACTCTTTATTATATATTTAATGATAAAGATAATGAAGAAAACAAAGTAGTTTATATAAAGTGTGTACCTCTAGAGAATGAATCTGATTCTTCCTTTCAGAAAACAGGAACTCTGCAAAATCTTGAGTATGTTCTTTGTACAAATATGATATGAGATTAGCAATAGCTATGTTAGACTAATTTAGTGTCTGCATTGCAGAATAATATATATGTGTTTAAATTAGATTTTTTAAAATCGGTTTTTACAGTATGGTTTTTCCATCCACTCTTCTTTACCCAATCAAATCTAAGCACAGCCTTTAATATGACTCTCTTGCAACCAGGCAATTCCACTAGTTGTCTTTTGCGGAGGAACCATACTCTCATTTCTGCTGAACTACATTTCATTCCAGGTTTACTCCCATAGTTGTACACTTTTATTTTTTGAAGCTTGTGTTTTGTTCTGACTAGTATGTGCATTGTTACTGAAGGAAGCATGTAGTAGTCTGGGATTTTCATAGTTCTCTGGTCACGCATGACCTGACTTATAGCATTGTTTTGGGCTGACTTTATATTAAGGTCCAGTTGATTATGCTGAGTGTTGTCAGACAACTGGAAACTTGCTTATGTTAGCTCCCAGCCCCAAGGGGCAGGTTCTTGTGCCCAATCTTGTGCTACATCTCTCTGAAATGCATCTCTGCTCTTTCCCCCCGAGCTCTAAGCTTGGAGCTGAGGAGAGGAATTCTGCTCCTAGCTTGAAGCTGGAGATAGGTGTGTTGACTTCCTTTTGATTCTTCACCTGATTGGTGCTCAGAGTGCCCTGTTTGGCAGATTCTGTCTCCCAGTAGCAGCTCTGAGCTAGAGATAAAGGATGGGGACTTGTTATTGTTCTGCACTTGTACCTGGCAAACACAGAGCCAAAAAAAATAACCCCAAACTTCAGTTGAACTTCGGAGCTAGGGAGGGGGCATGAATCATTCCTTCTCTGATGTTCCACGGTTTGGATGAAGCTTTGGGCTCATCTCAGTTGACAGAGCCTCGTTCTCCCCTTGCTGTAGTGTGGGTTGTGTGTTAGATTGTCCAACCCTGAATGTTGTTTAAAAAAATCCCAGTCACAATTCCAAGAGCCAGAGACTTTTTAGTTTCCTGCTTTTAGTATCCACACAGATAAGTTGTCATCATGGGGCAAGCTAAATTATATGCCATAACACTGGGATGGGAAACCTCTAGCCCTCCAGGTGGTGTTCGACTACAATTCCTATCATCCTGGACCATTGGTCATGCTGGCTAGGGCTTATGGGGGTTGAAGTCCAATAACATCTGAAGGGCAACAGATTTCCACCCATGCTTTAGTAAGTAAATCCAGTTCTTTTGTTGACTCTAAAATTGGTTACCTTTCATAATTACTAATCACGTTTACAAATAAATCTTTGTTCTCAAGTTCAGTGTACTACTTGTGCAACAGGAATATACTGACTTTCCAGACCATGAAAATTATTGTATAAAGCTGGGTGGTGTCTCTTCTTAGGCAAGCAGCAAATGGTTTCTGAGGTGAAGATGGGTGGGACACATAATCTTAGTCAACATTCTGAATTGCTCATTTGTAGGTATTCTTCCTTTATTGAGTTGGCAAATACTGTATAGATACTTGTGGATATGCAGAGATGGACAACAGTTCTTGCTGTGCACTAGAGCCTTCTGTACATGGAAGTATCTTGCCTATGTGTCAGCCAAGAAAATTTAGCTGTTACATTCAGGTAACACATGGGTGATTACAGACTGCGATCTGTTTTAACTGTTTTTAAAATTTGTAAATTGTTGTAACCTGCCCTGCAACCTAATGCTCAGAAATCTAAATAATGATGGTGGTGATTAATCTGTCCAGTGAGAATCTCTCCTCCCATATGAAATATCTAGAATATTACCCAATGAACTTATATTTATAAGTATCACAATAGCTTCTTTGACTTCTGGATATATTCCCTTTTATACCCTGTGTGTCTGACTATCCTTCCCCTCTTTTCACAGTAAAATCTAGACTAGAAGGTTTAGGGTTGGAGTAAATGCATTTACTGTGGGTAAATATGTTTATTCTTTGTGTTGATTCTTTGTAAAAATCAAGGTTACTTTCCTAGTGCAATGGTAGCATTGAAGTGGAAAAGGGTGGGGGGAAATGAGGCCAGCTGATGGATTCCCCCCCCCCTTTGCTTGGGCATGGAACCTCTTTATGCTTGCAGCATGCCTTGTGTGGCTGTTCCAGCAAATTATAGTGAGTGGATGAAAATGGAACTAAATTGCAACACTTCATTGACCTTCAGCAGACCTTATTTTATGTAATTGTATAGTTATATTTCACAGTTCATGGCATTGTGCCAGCATCAGGAGCAAACTTGGGTCTGGCACTGGGATAGCCTTCAGTGCTTGTGGCATGGTGCAACTCATGCAATGCCATGTGTAATGCAAGGGTTTTTGCAGCAGTGGCAACACTGGATGAGGCAACAAAGAGGTCAGTTTCTGGGTAGTCCTGCTACTTTCCATCCTATAGGTCTGAAGATTCAAGAGATCAAGAAAATGACGTCATATGATAAAGTGCTGGGTAAGGGGGTTTCTCTGAATGCAGGTAGAGCTGGATGGCTCTGCTTTGCTTACCAGGCTCACAGTGGTTCTTGAGCAACCAAGAGAGCAAGTACTGTTTTGTGACTTAACTTAAATCAGATTGTAAGAGAAGGGTGTGAACTACACTGCTGCTTGCAGTATTTGAGATGTATTAAGCAATAGCTAGTATAAATATCCAAATAAAAATAAATACAAACTTTCAGAAGTTTCTAACAAAGTCCTGTAACTTTAAAGTTTAGCACTGCTAGAATTTTATTTATCCCACTACTGTCCTTGGTATGCTTCATTTTTCATCTTGGGAGACCTCCAACAAAGCTTACAAAAATGTAATAAAACACCAAAAATGAAACAAGCAGTATAACTATGAAATCACATGAAAAGCACAAGAGCAGCATCACAAACAGAAATAAAAATATTCAGTGGCACACATACTTATTCAGCATTCAGAAACCTTCCTTGGATGACTAGATTCCCCCCCCCTCACTAAAATGCAAGTATACTTCCTTGGGAGGATGTTGTACAGTCCTGGCACCACAACTGAAAATGTCCTGTCCCTTGTGCCCACCCCACTCATTTCTGAGTCCAGATACATGGAGCAAGACCTTGGAAGCAATGACAGGAAGTAGAATTTTCCAAAACTGAAAAAATTCCAGTGGAAATTTTCCATTCCAGAAGTTGGTTAGTAACCACAAATGAAGGCCAATGACAAATATTAGCCAAGATGGTTTCAAAATGTTCAGTTTTGTTTGCTAAATACAAGCAAAATAATCGTGTTAAATTAGATGACTCTCTAAGCATCAGAACATTTTCTAATGAGATTTACCTGCATAGGAAAATTTTTCACTTAATTATTTTCCAGAAAAGACACATCAGTCCTGAGATGTTGATGAAAATGTAGGAATAGGTAGATGTATCCTGAAGCAATTCTTCAAATATCCCTGCACCAAACTGCTTAGGACAAGATGAGAACTGTAGTCCTACTACATCTGGAGGGCCATAGGTTGCCCACCCCTGGTTTAGAGCTTTAAAGGTTAACACGAGCACCTTGAATTACATCTGGATACAAATCTTTCCTGGTGAATCTGGCATAAAAATCTGACATACGCTGAGAAAATTCTATTTGTAAGTCTTGCTGCCTCATTTTGGACCAGTTGAAATTTTGGACTACTTCTCAAAGGTGACCTTAGGGAGAAGTGTTACACTAGTTGAACCTTCTATGAATGATCTTGACGAGGTCTGCTTTTTCAAGTGTAGAATCCATTAATGGTATCTAAACTCAAGTGCCACTTTTAGTTGCAGTGCATTTTAGAGCATCTAAATATCTTTGGAAGTTAACTATCTGGGTTGATTGTGTGATGCATTACAAAAAGCAAGCCACCAAAACTATGTTTACAGTTTAATTTTATTCTTTGAGGATAGCGATATAGCTTTGAAGCTCTGAAATTGCATGTCATTGTCTGCTAGCTCTGTCCTCTTCTATTAAGAGAGCACTTATTCAGTACAGCCCCCTCATTAATTTAAAGTGACATAGTTCAGGCAGTTGTCTAAAACGTGACCTACCTTCTTTTTCGTCCTGTGTGACACTAAACAGCATCTCTGCTAGTCACACATACAGGAAGAAGAACATTTTAATATCTCTTTTAAGTTGAAGTACAATTTTAAAATGTTGAAATCGCAAACAGAAGCATGGCTTTAGTGCAGGGGTAGGAGGCCATGAGTTAGGTTTCCAGAGAATTTCAACATGGATGTTGATTCACTTGCTGCCTTAGCTTTTTACTGTGCTATTCTTGCTTAACCTACTGTGCTTTATCACTGGGCAGGAACAGGTGCAGATGAAATGAGACTCATTTCAGCAATATATTTTTGTATTTTTCAAGGTTTGAATGTAATTTCCATGCTCTCCTATTCGCTAGGGTGAAACAGCTCTGTGAAATGTGCAATAGTGGCAACAGAAACAGTTACTGAAACAGTTCACAGTTTTGGTTAAAGCTGCTGCTTTTTTTGAAGAGCAGCTTAGCATTTAGGCCCTGATCACTCAGTGACTCTTACTGACTCTGGTAAATGGAATCTCTCACTTGCCACAAGTGGCAATTGGAGTTTCCAACTGGCTAAAAGTGACCACTGCTAGAGAGTTAAATTTTCTGCTTTGGAAGCAAGGGGCTGCATCCCTTCAGCATACTTGGCCTGTGCTGAGTTGGGCTGAGTAGCTGTTTTTAAAATATGGTCAGTCTTGAATTACTGTGCACTTCGGATAGCACAGATGGTCAGTGCATGTACCTCATGCAGCCCACAGAATCTCTGAGAACTCTGCCCTTTCAGTCCTATGCCAGAGGCAGAAGCTGTAAAGAACATGCAAAAGGTGTCCCAGGCCACCAGAGTGCTTTTGAAAACATGGATGTACTCAGAGCCATGGTTTCAAAAGTAGCCTTGCCTGCATGGGAAGTGTCAGCCCCCACCATGCCCCGGACAGGGAGAACTGAACTATAGAGCAGAAGTAGTGAACCTCAGAGCCACAGACCCAATACTGCCCTCCAGGCACCTCTATTGGGACCTTTGATTTCTCCCCAGCCCACACCCCTCACCTGCTTTGCCTGACTGGAGTATGTCCTTGAACTCTGATAATGCCTCTTACTTGTCTGAGTGGAAGAGAGAGGGGGGTGTATTTTAAAATTTGCATTTGTTGTTCTGCCCATTGTCTCTAACCACCATTGTCATGTGATCCCTAAAAAGTTTCCCAGAAGGAAATGTGGCCCTTGAGCTAGAAAGGATTTCCTACTCTTGTTTTAGAGGCAGATCTATTATGCAGTCTATTAATAATTCTTTGCCTTTCTATGAAGATGCTGAAGGATATTGTCCTAATAAAGACTCAAAAACATATAGCAGTATTATTGTGAAATGCACACACACGAACCAGCACAGTTCTGCCAGATGCAAGCTTGAATAAATGTCTTCATACACAAAATGTGTAGTACATTCATAGTCTGATTTAGTTTTAGAACAGGAAGAGGTTTTCATTTAAAGATTGATAGTTCAGTATGTTTGCTTTGAAGGCTGCGTAAAATAAGAACCTTACAGGGTCTTCTGGCCTGTTCCAGGCCCAGAAATAGTTGATGAGCAGCCAAACACCTGCATCTATTTCTATAATAACCGATCTTAAAGCAAAGCAGACACCTGGATTTTCAGACAGACGTTTACTTCATGATGCTGATAGAAGGGTGAAATTAAATGAGTGAACTTATGTCAATGTTTGTGTGCCATTTTTTGCTACGTTGTTCTGTCCTTCCTTGGAGAGCGCTCTTATTTTCAAGTGAAAAGATACACGGATGAATTTGCTTGTTGTGCCTGTGTTAAAATATTTTAACTAGGCTTAGGGCTAGTTCCCTCAGGACCATGGCACACAGGGAGGGGTAGTTTAACCCTTCCTTCCACAGCCACAATCTCTTTGGCAGCACCCATCCCCAGAGAACACACAGTATTTCAATTAGCAATAGGAAAAAAAGCTCCCATTGGATCATAGTGTTGTGGTCCTGATGAAAATTGGGAGGGGGCTTATCCTCACTTAGAATTACATTTTTAAAATTTCTAGATTTTAGCAAGATCATTGTGATTGATGTAGATAGGTCCTCAAAGAACTACAGTAGATTGCGACAGGCCTCATTCAAAGCCCAAAGGCAAATTTGCTTCTGTTGGACCCCATCAGCTAAGAAAATTTGATGGATCTTTGGGAATCCAGTGAGTTGGCCTGTGCAGTGCAAGTGTAATATCTGATAAGTCCTTGGTTTGTCATGTATTAAAATTGGTGTGTTTTGTCTTTGACACATGCCTTTTGCTTACTTTCTTTTTTGGAAGGGGGAATTATCCGGCTGACAGTTACAAAATGTCCCCGTCCCCCCGGTAGCAAAATGAATTATTTTAATGCCATGCTCCTTTGGTGATTTTTGAAAAGGTTGATAATATGGAAAAACTTATTGGCCAATCACTTAATTGTCAAAAAAACCTGTTGCTAAAATAGTAATAATTCAGGATGATGAATATCCAGAATTTTGTTCTATAGTTGCATGTTGGGACACATTCTGGTTTACCTGCCTCCAGAAAAATGAAACTTATGGGCTTTCCCCCTTGACCTAAAAAGAAACTAGTTCTGCACAATTAGAAGCATTCTAACTTTGACATTGTAACAAACTGTTGAATTTTCTATGGCCTGCCTCTAAAGTTTATCTTTATGTGTGCCCAGAGGCTTTGTGGATATGAACTGTGGCCATCTAGGCAGAACTGCAAATTGCTTTGGAAACTCCCCTAGATTTCTTCATTCCAAAAAAACACACAAGCTGTTCAGTGATGGAAAAAGGAGAAGGCCACTTGTATGAATCTGCTAGAAATGTTGAATAATATTTGTCAAGGGCAAGCTGAGCATGGGACTGTTGTGATTTACTCAGTGGCGGAGGAAGGGGAGTGCAGTGCAGGCAGTCCACCCCGGGTGTCTTTGCTGAGGGGGGTGACATTTGGCCCACCGCCTACCCACGACTCATAAGCCTGCCCCTAGTCTATTATTATTATTTATACCCCGCCCATCTGGTTGGGTTTTCCCAGCCACTCTGGGCGGCTCCCAACAGAATATTAAAAATACAATAAATACAAGTGGTAGACATTCGTGACCACTTCTGTGACTTGTGCTTCTCTGGAAAGCAACCCGTTGACTCAACTGTTTATTGCTTATGTGTGCAATTAAAGCAGAAGTATTTGTAGATTAACCCTCCCCCACTTAGATCATCCAAAGTGAACCTTGAAGGAGAAATTTTGAATACAAAACATTTTTCATAATGATTATTTTAACCATATAAATGCAAATTAATATTTGTAATTTAATATAAATGTAATTGATCATTCTATCCTGCCTGGTGTCACAATAAACCTATTCCTAGCCACATCGATTGCAGTGAGTCTTGTTTTCTTCAGCAGTGTGTTAATAAGTGTATTTAGGATTTCAGTCTTAGAAGTATTTTATGTTGTTTGCAACAGCATTGTTATATACAGGGGTACCTCTAGTTGTGGACACGATCCGTTCCAGGGTGCTGTTCGCACCCCAAAAAGTCTGCAACTAGAGCAGCACTTCTGCGCAAGCGCGGAGCACAATAGAGCGCTTAGAAGTATGACTGTATATAAATAAGGTCTGAGAGCATGTTTATTTGTAAATATTAGAAATTTATTAACATTAAATGTAAATAATATTTCATGCTATATGGGAGTTATATTTTCCTATGCGTGTTTATGAATGCTAATTTTTATTGGAATTGTGTAGCATACTGAATATGCTATACTATAATAACAGAAGATGGCTCTTTTCTGCAAATTGTAAATAGAATTGTGAATGCAAGCCTTTACATGTTCTTTAATTTGATTAAACTTTAGGTAGAGTTCCATTGCACCTGGAAATTAATACCTGCATTTAAAAATTAATCCTCCAGTCGCATAAATCTTGAGTACCTACAAAGTCAAACTGAATATACTGTTCAATCAAGGTTAGATTAAACTGAAACTGATTCCAGCTGGCATTGTACCATGCTGTTTTAGTAAATCCAGCCAAATTGTTGCTTGACATTAGGGATTACAGAATAATATAACAGGCTGGGTATTGTGTGTGAGGTTTTTTATTATTATTTTAAAATATGCTTGTATTTGTATTAGGCATCATGGTGAATTTTATGCAGGTGTTAGGAGGATGTAGAAATCCTTTGGAATAGTGCCAAAATGTTTAAGCATAAAATAGAATCATCACTTGTGTTTGCTTTTACGTATGAGTGGAATGAGGATTGAAGTGTAAGTCACAGATAAAAGTATTTTTTTTTGTACTCCTATGATGTAAACGTGTGTAATCAGCTTGTCACCAGGTGAGCTGCATGGCTGAACAGGCATTTTGTCCCATGTCTTGGATGTCCATATTCAGTATATAGTGCCATACTAGTTATATAATATTTGGAATTGTCCTTCGTGTCCTCAGTTCAGTACCACAAATCAGATATTTGCATGTACATAAATGTCTACAGCTTTTTGAAGAGTGAGAAAGCCCTTTTTCTCCTCTTGACCACTAGTTTGTAGCATTAAGGCACAGTAGCTCAACATCAAAAAAACTAAGAACATGGCCACTGGTCCCATCACCTCCTGGCAAATAAAAGGGGAAGAAATGGAGGCAGTGAGAGATTTTACTTTCTTGGGCTCCGTGATCACTACAGATGGCGACAGCAGTGACAAAATTAAAAGACACCTGCTTCTTGGGAGAAAAGCAATGACAAACCTAGACAGCATCTTAAAAAGCAGAGACATCACCTTGCCAACAAAGGTCCGTATAGTTAAAGCTATGGTTTTCCCAGTAGTGAGGTATGGAAGTCAGAGCTGGACCATAAAGGCTGATCGCCGAAGAATGGGTGCTTTTGAATTATTTTGCTGGAGGAGACTCTTGAGAGTCCCATGGACTGCAAAAAGATCAAACCTATCCATTCTTAAGGTAATCAGCCCTGAGTGCTCACTGGAAGGACAGATCCTGAAGCTGAGGCTCCAATACTTTGGCCACCTCATGAGAAAAGAAGACTCCCTGGAAAAGACCCTGATGCTGGGAAAGATAGAGGGCACAAGGAGAAGGGGAAGACAGAGGACGAGATGGCTGGACAGTGTTCTTGAAGCTCCTAACATGAGTTTGACCAAACTGCGGGAGGCAGTGGAAGACAGGAGTGCCTGACGTGCTCTGGTCCATGGGGTCACGAAGAATCGGACATGACTAAATGACTAAACAACAATAAAAAACTTCAATTCATTTCCTATATTGCTACCATAGAGTGAGGAACTCCTAGCTTTTTAATTCTGAGCTGGATAAATTGTCAAAGTTTTTTGTGTTTTTTTTTAAATCTTTTAAATTCAGTCCTGTAGCAGGGGCCCTCAGATTGTCCTATGGAACACCTCTTTTCTAAAGTGTGATGAGCGTAGCAGCAAATTTGCCGGCTCCTACTGACTATCTTCTCTCCCTAAACTGTTCAGGCAAACCCCATGAGCAATCCGTCAAAATTTTACTAGACAGGCCAAAACAAGTACAGAGACCAGGCTTAAATCTATCCCTTGGATTCTGAACTGGCAGCTACTGAGTCACCCTTCCCACTAAACTCAGCATGGTTAACCTTGACCAACCCTTTGGTGGCCACATGCTACGGTGGCTGTGGCCATGGACACACCACAGACAGAGGCACATTGCCCTGACCTGTGCAGGTCAGCTGGCGAGGGGGATAATTGCCCTCTCCCCACTTAAATGATAAATCTGGTAACAGAAGAGGGGGCAATTTGTGTATCCATCAAATGACTGGGCTGGATGGGAAGGTTTATACTTATCTGCCCTTCCCAGTGCTGTGTCTACTTTAATTTTTCTTCCTATTTTGCAACCAAAATAGCAATGTCTGAGTGGGTGGGAAAATTCCCTAGAGGGCCTGATGAAGCTCCCAGGCCAGCGACTAGCAACCTAGCTAATTTTTTGGTGCTGGGTATCTTGGCCCCCGAGAGTAGCAGTGGCTTCCAGTCCACAAAGCAGACAGATTGTCTCTCAGATGGTGAAGGTACATGCCATTTAACTGAAGAGCATAGATTTGAAAAAGCTAACTACAGGATATTGACTATGAAGGCTCTACCAGACCCTGTTCTAGCAATATTTACTCTGGATGGACACGCGGCACTAGCAAAAGTAATGAATTACTTTTAGCAAATTCTGAATATTCACTGGATTTGGTAGGGAAAGGATTATGTACTGGAGGGGGAAAGCAAGTAACAGTTGTTCTGAGTAGATCCATTTAGTTGATCCACATAGAAGAGATTCTGATTTCTCAGGTAGAACATTCGCAAATACAGCATTTCTTGGGGCATCATTTCTTTCTTTTAATCCGTCTATCAGCAAAGGTCCCAGTTTAGTCTTACTGTGCTGGCATTTGTATGATTTGTAGTAATACTTCATATGCCATTGCATCAGACTGCCCAGGATTCCATAATGGCAGGATGAACTCTACAAGACATCATTTTTTGCTTCCATCCAGAGCCACTCCAGCCATCATGTATATTTTGCCAACCAACTTGCAGTTTTCAGGGATGAATGGTTAGATATTGCCCCAGTTCTTTCAACTGCATGGGTTGGATTTCATCTCAGGTATGTAATTTGACTTGAGCCTTCAGACTCCAGGGTAGCTCCATCACTCCTATTGCTAGATGAGGAGTCAACTGTTTGGAAAATGGAGCCATAGAGTGGGTTTTGCATTGTAATGCTTACAAGGTTTTTATTTTAGTTACTTTGATTGTAGATGACCCATTTAGCAAACTCAGAGCTGTCAGACCATTGTCCATTTGTTTTGTAAAGATGGTCAGTTTGCAGTCCTGGACATCTAGAACTCATATTTTTGCAGGGCCATCAGACCAAAAACGCTGGTCTTTTCTTAGACTTACATATGGAATTGGACATTTTCAGTTTAGAGTCCTCCAGTTTGGACTATTCATGACACCAGAGATCTCTTAAGAGTATGTGTCTACTCCCAGGCTTTGGAGCTCCTTACTGAGGAAGGTTTATCACACCTTATTTCTTGCAGGAGGACAAAAAACTTTTTTATTTAAACAGACATTTGGCCACTGAACTGACACGTTAGGGGTCTTTTTTTGCTACCTTCTCTGTTAATCAATAATTTTTACTATAATTATGCTCCTAACTGGTTACCATCTTTTTAATATGCTGTCACCTAATTATTATACACCTTTATTGTTATATAGTATATTATGCATTAGATTTTATCGTTAGCTGAATAGTATGCATGCCAAGACCTATATGCTGTAGGAGTGGGGCAGTAATTTGAAGGCACTGGCAATGGATTGTTGTCAGAGTTCTATATAAGAGGGTCATATCATTCAGAATCTCCCGGACTTCATGACACCCGCTACTTTTTGTCCATTTAGCATACCTTTACTTTCATTTACTCCAGTTCTGGTCCCCCAGATCTTGTCAGTACAGTGAAGGTTGACCAGTCCTAACTCCTGATCATTACTCCATTCTGTTCCCACCCCCCACCCCTGCCTCCAACCATGACAAGGTTAATCTTCATTGAAGTGTGACCTTTTACTATCTGCATCCTTCTGCGCTCTGAGCATGGATTCACCGTTATGAAAATAGGGCACTGATTGTGATGATGAGGTGGCCAAAGGCAGCTGGTCTTTGTGGAATTGCAGTTAGCTTACATACATATAATAATAAGGTAATGCTGTCGTCATGCTGCAGTTTGCTTGGTTGTCAACAAATGCTGCTGCAAGCTACAACATGACAACAGCCTTCTGAGAGTGTTGGGCCATCACAGCAGCATTGGCGGGTGAGGGAGAAGGGAAGCAGAAGAGGGAGATGGATGTGGGTAGGTGCTTAGGTGAGCCATGGAAAAACTGTCAAGAAGGGGTGGGGCAGCTACTCAGCAACCATCCTGCTCTGCTGATGACTGCCTCACACAGATAACTTGGAGGCAGCTGGCTGGCTGATCCCCGCAAGCTGCAGAGGAACAGTCAGTACAGGACAGGGAAACTCCCCAACAACCATCCTGCTCTGCCACCACCTACTGCCTTCCTCCTCCTCACCCTCTACTGCTGTGACGGAAACAGTGTTGTTGATATGAGGCAGGCAATATGAGCAGGAGGAGGTCTAAGGGAAGGAGGGTGGGTTTGGTGAGGTCTAAGGAGAGAGTTGATAAGGGGGTGGGTTGGTGGGGGTTAGTGAGTGACACGATCAGGGGCTCAGCCACTAGTAGAAACAGAGTTCTCTTGGATTGGAGAGCATGAAACTAGGACCGTAAGCATTCAGTCTTTGCCTTCATGATTCATGTCCACACAGTTGCTACTGCTGATATATAGATAAGTGAGATGGGGATGGAACTTCACAGAAGATATGCTAGGGAACCTTTAATCTCAGGTCCTAATCTGTTTTGAGGTTATGATCATAATGTTAATCCAGTAATAATCCACTTTGTTTGAAAGAAAAAATATGTGTTTGAATTGATGCATCTACAGGGTGATTCCTGCAGAGTCCCTTTAGGGACATAATGGATGTAGATTTCTTTGCCATCTGAAAAAATAATAAAGTGTCAGGTTCTGGAATCAAGGAGGAACCAGTCTCTCTGCCCCTGGTAATTTTTACAAGGGCCTTAAATTGAGCCATGGCAGATTAAGGGCCATCCTTGTTGACGCAGCATGGCAATATCTCCCCACTGAAGGCGGCGTTGCATGGGTGAGTGGTAGTATTCCATGATTTCCTGTCTTCCTTTCACAGAATTGAAAGTAACCCCTTTTCAGTATCTCCCATACTTATTTATGAAAGCATGTCAGATGGGGATGCCATAACATTCTCCTTTGATGAAGTCCAAGAGATGCACTGCTTTACTGGAAGAAATTCTTCCAGTAAGTGTTGATGTTGTCCCTTAGTAAAATTTGCAGATTTCATTTTTGATTTTTTCATTTTTGATTGCCAGTGGTGAACTCTTCTTTAAACCTACTTTAGGGCCATATCTGCACATCATGTTCTGCTGGATGTTTTAATAGGCATTCTCCCATGTTTTTGCGAAGCAGTTTCTCACAGGGTTACTTGACAAGTTTCTCCTGTTGTGGAGCCGTCTCTTGAGGGAGCCTGTTGCTCTTTCTTCACAGCTTATGATAAAACTTCTTGTGTCCTTATATGTATATTCTTTGGACAGTCTTTCTTCTTTAAGGTTGCATTTCTATTAGGGGGGTCAAAAACTGCAGGTGGCCATGTTGGTGGTGGGGAATTATAAGTAGCAGCAGGCTATTGAAAGAAGCAGGAATGGAAAGTGTGGTATAGCAGAGTTTCTTCACTTTATCAATATTTGGAAAAGTCACATTTGTCACATTTGTCGGATTGCACAGAGGCAATAAAGAAGACAGCAAGAGTTGCTATTAGTTGTTGTGAATATTCTTTGTTATAAATATTCAAAGAATCCACCTTCCTTCTCTACTATAAAGGCTTTCACAGAGAGCATGAACATACATTTTGAAAGAACTAAGCAGGTGAGGCTCCTTGATTTATTTACTTGACGCAGTGTAGGAAAGGAGCTGCGTTTCGGCTGCCATGGTTGAGACCTCACTAGTATGGCCACAGTGAGAGCAACTTGAAGAATAATGTTTACCTGTAACCTCTTGACTGTGCTCAGGTGCAGCTTTTTGTACAAACAGGATTTACACCAGGGAGGGGGAACCTGTGGCCCTCACAGATGTTACTGGATTCCAGTTCCTAGCAGCCCCAAAATCAGTGTCTGTACTGTTTCGATCTAGTGCTTCTATGAATATCATAATAGTAACCTGCTTCTTGACAGTGCCATCCTGTAAATGTTGTTTTCAAGAGAATGGTGCATACCTGACCTTGAACTGGTCTTTGGGGGACACTTGGAAACAAGATTTCTCACTGCTTTCACAATGTGAGTGCATGAGTTCTTGCCAATATCATACTGAGCTTCAGAAGCACCTTGACACCTACAGGATCTTGCTTCTGCTTCCAAGTGCTTCTGAACACAGTGTTGTATCAGCCATGAGATCTCTTCCCTGCCCCTGAATTGTGAGAGAGGCTGAGTTCTGAAAACCACAGATGTTACTGGCTGACAAAATCTGTTGGTCCCTCATTGTGGAGAAAGAAGAGTCTCCACAAAGAAGACTCTCTGACACAGCAGCTGACCTTGCATTTTGTTTAGAAAAGCTTTTTTAAACAGTACAAAACTCAAAATATATGAAGTACCAAATAGAGGATATGATGCAAAGTGATGCAAAAGATTTTGGAATCTTTTATTTTGCACCGCACATAGGTGCATTCCTAACATTTGGGTCTTTCTCACTTTTTGAGCCATGGTGGGTTATCCCTGACATAGTTGCCTGTTAGAAAACAGCCCACTGATTCTGCCCAGTTAGATTAGAGCATTCCACTTGTGCCTCCCTTGACACAAAGAGTAACAGTTTACTCTTATGGTACTTGATAACGATAAAGTAAGTGGTACTCTTATCAGAGTTGGGCCCGCAAAGGGATGTTTCTGTGTATGCAATTAGGAGACCAAATGCCTTGGCTTTGACTTGTTTCATCAGAAATGGGAGACTATAACTTTAAGTGGCCCAAGAGTGACAAGAACTTGGTTTAGAGTGAGGGTTTCCAGAATCTGAAGTGGGAGATTGTGAAACCTTTTCCTTCCTCCTGAGTTAAAGCAGGGTTAATTCCATTCTTAACACGATAAAAATAACAATTACGAAGAGTGCCTATGTTCTTTTGTTCTGAGTTTAAAAGGATATGCTTCAGAGTGTGGGATGAATTGATTCTAGATTTTTCCTTTAATACACAGACTGAACACTCCATAATGCTTCTAGATTAAAATATAATACATACATCACACACAAAATAAGATTGCTGTGTTTCTTGGAAATGGTCAGCAGCCTCTGGCTTGTACTTTTTTTTCTAATTTAAGATAGTGTTTTTTAATCTACATTTCTTTGTTTCTGGCTATTCAAGTATAAAGTGTTGAGACATGTTGGGCAAAATGTGTGTATTCTGGTATGAATGCCACAAACTTTCTAAATCTATTTATAGTATTCAATAATTTGTAAAGGTTAACTGTAATCCAGACTGTAGTGTTAGCATTTTCCCTGCTGATATCAGTGTAGAAGACTGGCAGGCTTAGCCTTGTTGAAGGTTTGGGAGGGTTAGCAGCTTTCAAAGTGCTGGACAGCAGGGCCATGTATGGTTAAGTCCATATACATATCCACCTGATTGGTTAGACTGTGCAGCTAAGTGTTGTGACAGGTGTTGCCGAAAGCTACACCTGTTTTCCTGAGAATGCTGATTTAGTGGGAGTTCCAGGCACTGTCTGTGGGACTTGCAACACCATGCCAAGTAACCTGAGAAGGAATGATATCTAACTGATGGCTTGAGAGCTTTACACAATTTTATTGTGTTATGTGAAATGCTAAGTGTGCTTTGGAGCTGCTAGGAAAGAAATTTAGCCAAAACTTCCTATATCTGTATTTGCGTAAGGCCCTTGTCACAGCAGCACTCTTGTACACATTTGCAGCCAGCTCTTACCCCTCTTTTACTGCACGAGGAAACAGCATGTGTACAAGTCAGTGAGAGGGGAATGAAGGAGCCACGGCAGCCTGAGAGGAGCCTGTCTGCCTGCAGCAGACCTTCTTACCAAGATGTTGGGTGGTGGCTCCTGGGAGAGATCCATAAAGGAGGGCAGTGACATCCCCCACATCCCTAGAGGCAGCCACACACACAGTACCCTATAATTCATTCCAGTGCTGGAATGGGGAAGTAATGTGGGGAAACCAATCTACCAAAATTGGGGAAGGGACGTTCCTGACCGAATCAACCCGTACCCATATAGTTCTCTGGTCGCCTCGCTAAAGTAGCTGGAGGGAGGAAAGAGGGAAAGGCAAAGCTGTCGCCTCCTCCCCCTCCCTTTCCCTCTCTTCTGATATCAGTCAAGAGGGTGGAATGGGGTAGGATGGGGTGACACAGGAGAGGACAGGGAGAAAAGAGGTGTCGGGAAAGGATGAGAAAGGGTTGTAGAAGCAGGATGGAAAACCCACCCTGGCTTTGCAGAAAGGAGGAATGTGAGAGTTAAATGCCAAAAGGCCTCATTAGCTACTAGCCAAGCCATCCCGTACAGCATATAGTTTATGGCAGTGGTGTCCAAACTTTTTTCAAAGAGGGTCAGATTTGATGAGGTGAAGGGCCATAGGGGCCAACCAGAGGGCCAGCCAAGGTTGTTGACCTTTTTTTTAGGATTGATATTGTTGACCTTTTTACCTTTTTTTAGGATTTTACCCCAAAGTTGTTGAACTTTTTTTTAGGGTTGGAGTTGTTTAGGTTTTTACCCCAGGAAATGAACTGCCACAGGGGCCAGATTACGCCCCTGAAATGGACTTTGGGCATGCCTGGTTTATGGTATTTGCTTCTACAGGATGCAGTGATGGTATTAACTTGGATGGTTTTAAAATGTGATTAGACATTCTGTATTCATGGAAGATAAGGCTATTAATGACCACTAGCCATGATGGCTATATTCTACATCCACTGTTGAAGGCAGTATGCTTCTGTATAACAGTTGATTGGAATCTCAGGTGGTCAGGAGTACTTTTGCACTTATGTCTGACAACTGGTTGGCCGCTGGACTAGATAGGCCTTCTTTGGTCTTATCGTTGTCTTACATTAAGACAAACTGTTACTAGCAGTGGTTGCTAAGAAATTACAAGATAATAACGGCTTCAGATCTGTGTAGGTTTGCTTGAAGACCATTAGAATTCAACTTCTCCAGTGGTGTTTATGAAGTTCAAATAGTTTTGACTAAAGCTTCTCTCCCAGTATTTCTCACAGCAAAATCTTGTAAGTAATAAAATGGGATATATTCTCCTCCTTTCTAGATACCATGGATGCTTATTATTTATCAACTGATTGGATCTCTAGTTTGTAAACTAATCATGACATACTCATAGAATATTATGAGAGAGTGACTTGGGTTCAGAACATACTTTCCCATTAGTGATTTTTTTTTAAAAAAATCAACACCTAAAGTTTTACTGTTAGTTGGATTTTAAACACTGCTTAGAATAGTAGTTTTCAAAGTTCCAAAGCCCAGGGAACCTTACATATGTTGGTTTGTCTTCCAAGGAATGCCTTCACCTTGCAGGAAATTTTTATTTTCAACTAGAATCTCTGGTTTACAAAACATGCTTAAATTTACAAAATAAGTTGCACATTATAGAATGTTGGAGTGGAAGATGGAAGACAGAAAAAAGCTGCTCAACCCTTTCTATGCCGGCTCAAAAATTCACAAAGAGAACACTCTTAACAGCTTGTGGAGAGTGATTTCTGAGCTCAAACAGTGCCAGAGGGGGGAAAGGATTAAGCTGCCTCTGCTTGCTTATGCTGCCTTCATTCCAGCTCTCAGGGCAGTTTTGGCTTTTAAAAAGCCAAGAGAAAAAATAATGCAGAACCCTGTTTACTGTGCAGTGTGAGCCACAGGAGCTCTTAACCTGGATTAGTTATGACTTTACTTGTTAAATGATCATTAGACTGCCTTGCAAGGTAGATCATTCCCTATCTTCTGTACATCCTTGTTCTAGGATATGCTCTCAGTTCACACAGGGCTGGTGCCTACAAACTGTTCTCACAAATTCTTTTGTGGCTATTTTTAATTGCCAGAGAAAATAGATAGTGGTCAATGAGCTATTACAGTTTCTGACAGAAACCCCCATCTCTTAGAAAAGTTTGACAATCACTGTAGCAATTATAAAGGGCAGGGGAAGAGAGAATTGTAGGTATTGTATCCAGTGCTAGTCCTATATAGAGTAGGCCCATTGACGTTGGGATAGAACTGCATGTGTTTAACAATACTAAAGTATCAGTGTATATGGATACACTTATTTCAGTGGCTCTGGTTGTAAAACAGTGTGTACCTTCTTAATGCAAATTTGCGATTAAAAATTATGGCAAGTTTAGTATTGTCTGTGTGAATTTTCCAATTGTATTTCAGACTTTAAGAAAGAAAGGCCTTAATGGTTGTGAGAGCCCTGATGCTGACGATTACTTTGAGCACAGTCCACTATCGGAGGACAGATTCAGCAAACTAAATGAAGATAGTGATTTTATTTTCAAGCGAGGCCCTGTAAGTACTTTTCTTAGCTCCTACTTTTTATTTGTTGATTCTTTTTATTAACTTCATTATTTAGGCTCTGAACAAGAAGGAAAACAGAGGGTGCGACAGCCCGGACCCTGACACTTCATATGTGCTCACGCCACATACAGAAGAAAAATATAAAAAAATTAATGAAGAGTTTGATAATATGATGCGGAATCATAAAATCGCAGTGAGTACTGTGGTATGGCTTGTGACTTTATTATATGCATGAGAACATTTTGCAACATCTCCTTAACTTTGAAAGCTACATTAAAGATGACATTGTTGTACGAGCTTATAAAGCAGAAATGTTCATGCAAGATGCATGAATCTGAGACAGAAATCTTGGGATTTTTGTATGAACTCTGAGAAAGGCACTTTGTATGCTATATGTGAGTTAGAAGGCAGCAGGAAAAGCCTCTTACACAGTCCACTTCCTAAGAAGCACTGCTTTCATTAAATTTCTGGTCACAGAGAAACAAAAATGCTTACAGTGTCTACTTTGTTAGCTGAAATCAAACAAGGCCTAGTACAAACCTTTCAGGCCTAGAGAAATCCATTCTGTACAGGCTCCTGTACAGGCTCCTGTCTTTCTTCAGTCTTTTCTCAATAAACTACAGTGGGACCTTGGCTCTCCAACAGCTTGGCTCCTGAAAAACCCGGAAGTGAGTGTTCCAGTTTGCGAATGTTTTTCGGAAGCTGAATGTCTGATGCAGCTTCCGCGGCTTCCGATTGAGTACAGGAAGTTCCTGCAGCCAATCAGATCCTGTGCCTTGGTTTTCGAATGGTTCTGGGAGTCCAATGGGCTCCCGGAATGGATTAAATTCGACAACCAAGGTACCACAGTAGTTGTTTTCTGTTATTTTGCCATGCATCATCCTAGATCTGTGAAAAATATGCTGCAGTATTTTTATATTAAAATATTTTCAGAACTGGGTATTCCTTGGTATAGAACTCAGATGCCTTTGAAGTAAAACCTGTAACTCTTAAGAAGTTAAGGCAGTCTGTATATTGTGATCAGTTGTTTTTGTCCCTCACTAAGAAAATCATTGAGAGAGAGAGAGGATTATCAGCATATGCCATTGAGTAATTGGTCAGATAATTATTGTCCTTAGTCTATAAGGGAAGCCATATCTGAGTGTGATTTTCTTTTGAGAAACCTTTGTAAGTCACTTTGAGAGTGTTTAAGACCATAAAGCAGGATATAAGCATTCTACATAAATGAAAATAAACATGATTGCACAACTATAATTTCCCAATTTTGTTGGCAGAAGCTATGACATTTTTTTTCAAAACCTTGTTAGTTTCTATTGCTAAATATGTCCTAATATTCTTTCATTTTGTTCATTCCAAGACTAGCGTTCTGTACACACCAAAAGAAGGTTTTTAAAAATAAAGTCCTGTGATTTATTACTCTCTTAAATGAATTGCTAAAGGAATTTTTCAGTGTGCTATTTAAGGCAAAATTCTACCTTGTAGTGATGATGTGTTGCTCATATAACAATAGAAAATAACATAGTCATATTATGGTAAATTATTTACCAGTCAAACTATAAGGAAGCTGTTTTTGTTGGTTCTTATTTTATATAGCATCATCCAGATATATGGCATTTGAAAAGGAGAGGTCCCTGTCATGACAGCCTTACAATCTAGAAATTGATATAAGGGCCATAGCAAAAGGTAGTGGGGGTGGTAGTGAATTGTGGAAGAATATGCAGTCATTTCTGTTACATGTTTTTAGGTATAGTTGAATAGATTCTGGGGACTAGAGACCAAACAATTCTCAGATGGGTTTTTGAGGAAGGATTTCAAAGAAACAGGATTTAACATAAGATGTAATGCTTACATGTACTTCATCAAAGTGCTTTTTTAAAAAAATAAATAAATTGCATTCCTTCAAATCCAATCTTAAGCTAAATTGCAAAGAATTATGCATTAATTTATTCATTTTTTTACTTGAAATAGTTTTACAAACGAATACAAATATAATAGCACAACTCTCCAGCTTTTTTAGAACTTTCAGCATAGTTCTATAGTAATACATAATGTGAAGAATCAGGTTTGCCTTGGAACTTTTAAAGTTGAAATAGTATGCTGTATTTTCCAGTAACATCCTTTCCTCCCTCTCTCATTGCATGCTTAAGTGCTCTCAAATACTGTTTCTGATTGCAAAGGGATAATTTTCATTTTCTGCAATAATCAAAACGCTTCTTAAAAGTTTGCTAGAAAGTTACGGGCAGATGCCCAGAACATCTTTCATTTTCTACATATGATATTTTGTAAAACATATCTCCATGTGATTAACTTGGAGTAATTATCTGTAGCTCTTGGTAATTATCGGTATCTCTAACCAATTTTGAGAGTGCTAAGTGTGGTTTGTATGTAACAAATTTGAATAGTTTGCATTACATAATTAAGATGTGTGTGTTCTATATGTATGTTTCAAAACTCCTTTTAGAAACCAAGAAGCTGTTTTCTAACATTTTGATTAAAACTTGAGGAAAGTGTAGCTCTTTAAATCTCACATGATTTCCCCCCACTCTTTTCAGCCTGGGTTACCTCCGCAGAACTTCTCAATGTCGGTCACTGTTCCTGTGTCCAGCCCCAATACTTTAACCTACAGTAATCCTGGGAGTTCCCTTGTATCCCCAGCACTGGCAGCAAGTTCTACCTTGACAGACTCTACCATGCTGACCCCTCCTCAAGCCTCATTGCATCGAAATGTGTCACCAGGAGGTCCTCAGAGACCACCAAGTACAGGCAGTGCAAGTAAGCATTCCTCCCTCACCCCAAGTTTCAACAAGCTGTCACTCTTTACTTTTGTACATTGCATTATCTGAGTGAAATAAATATTCTTCCTCTGTATCCCCCAATTAGGTGGTATGCTGTCCACAACAGATCTGTCAGTGCCAAACGGAGCTGGTTCAAGCCCAGTGGGTAAGTTTCAAAGTTTTGCATTTTGAATACTGCAAGAGGCTTAATTGGCTTAGGAACGGATGAAGAAATCAAAGCAAAGACTGTTTCTTTCAGGACTGACTCTTCTGAGCTGTGGGAAAGGATATCTGCTACTTTTTCTGTCCAGCATTTGCTTTTGCTTGTTATATGTAATATGTTCTTGGATATGTCCTTTTTGGTGTAAGTGCTTAGAAAATGTGGTTACGCTAAATTTTGGCATCCAAAGTCATAATGAGACTTGAATCTTCCTAGTAGTTTCTTCTATTTTGAACTAAGTGCACTGTTGAAGGGAATTAACTACAAGGATAATAGAGCCGATGGGCATGTTTTTATTTCTCTCTGCTTCTCGAATAACTCTGAGCTTTTTGCTTTTGCCAGTTGGCAGTTTGCATAACTTTCTGTAAATCGTACTGAAAAAGAGCAGTCTCCAAATGGGTGGGGGTGGCATCAATCTGTAGGCCTGCATGTCAGCTTGACTTTCGAAGGGGAGCTCCAGATATTTTCCTTGCACTTGTTGACAAACTGGAGAGTGGTGCTGCTTGCTTCAATCAGTGTAGAGGCATCTGTGTTCCAGTTCTCAAATTACCGGAAGATGGCATGAACACCTGCTGTCAATATTACGTGCCCACTCACAACATCATTTGATGGTGAAGGATCAGTTAGCTCAGGTCAGAGAGCATAGAATCATTCCTGAGAAATCAATTGATTTTCCTATTAGAGCCCAGTTTTCCAGTATCACTGTTATAAGTTAAAACAAAAATGTCTGGAAGTCCTTTGATAACAAAGACTATATGTCTGTGAATTTAAGGTTGCAGATGGCATGCTGGCTGTGAGAACCTTAGCCCTTCCTGCTTTTGCTCTGGCATTCTGCAGAACTGTTAATTCTAGTAAAAGCTTAGACATGAAAATGGATATAAATTAGGCTGCAGTTCAATTACTTTTTATGCAGCATTTATGAATGACAGAATTTTAGAAAATGTATTTATTAAAGGTTTTTAAACAAAAAAAAAATCAATGCAATGTGATTTAAAAGGTAATATACAATTGCAAAAGAAATTTTCCTGTTACAATACAATTATCATTAAGCAACCTAATTCACAGGTAAATTCACATCCAGATATGGAGGGTTCTCCATGTTGTCATACGGTGTGGTGCAGACCGGTGAAGATTAATAGTTAATTAATGTAACTTTAAAAAGGGGGCCAAACTTCATCAAACCAGTCATGTTTCATGATGCCTTGTACCACTCTCAAATGTTTGGAGAGGGCTATGGACCAAACAACACTCATCTACTGCTCTCTAGAGGGCCCATTAATTGACTTCCAACACTTACCAACTTTTTTTTATATCCACTGTCAAAAGATGCACAACCAGTTCTTTGGTTGGTGTACAGAAAACTTGGATGGTGTACAGTGCCATTGAAGGAGTACCTTTAAGGATGCATCTTGGATTCTGGCATATCCTTTGCATATCCTTTCCCAGTCCACATCTTCAGTGCACATCTATATCTCCTTCCCATACCTCCTAGAGACCTGTTTTGTCACCCACTGATTACTTAATAAGCAGTATATAGTTTACTGAGGCAGACGGTCTCAGTTGCTGGCTCAACCTGATGCATAAACCTTCAAACAATGTCCAGGACCATAGCATGCCACCCTTTCTCATAAGTTCCCTCCTTTCCAAAGGGCCACACCTGCTTAAATTGGAGCCACAAAACTGTAACACCTTGTAACTTTTCCCTCAAAATGTTTTTGATGAGGTGGCCCTTCACCACAACATCTCTAATTCTATACAAATGCTTAGACTTCCATTCTTTAAATTGAGTATATTTATATTTGTGCCTAAATTCAGGGTGATCCAGTGGGGGGAGTCAGGGGAGAGAATGCTGGTGCCAAACAATCACTCCAAGTCTTCCAAACTTCCATAGTAGCCTTGAAAAATGAAATATTAAGCATGAACTACTAGCTACCATTACAGCAACTCTGTAATGCAGATGAAAGTGGCTCCTTTTGGATGCAATTTTGTAAGCAAGGAATGCTTAACTCTCCACTCCCCTTCCTCTGTTTGACACATGCTGATCCTGGTTAGCTGAAGTGATGCTTTCTTTTTCCATTCAAACCATGGTTTAAAATCCTGGTTAGTAAACTGACATTAAACCACACTTCCCTGTTTGGCATGTAGAGGATCAGCATGTCAACGAAGAGAGAAGAGGACTGGGGCGTGTGCAGGACAGATGCTTCCACAGTGCTTCCTAAACTATTGCTTAGCAAGCTGAGTGTGTTACATCCAAACTAGGGCAGTAAATCTAGCAGCATTTTAAGCCCATCAGAAGTGAAACTCTGCCACTTCCTGGATCTGCCCCCCCCCCCCGCCAACTTGGTAATAAATTTAAATATGTCACTGTAGCTTTTAGCTAGGGCATTCAAGTTTCACTGTATTACTGAATGGTCAGCGTCCAGTATTTTGTCAGGATGCTGTGACTTGTCAGTTACTCCAGTGACACACTGTGGCAGGTGGGAATTAACCTCCGCCATCCTGAAAATACAAACTGAAGTCTAGCAGATGCATTCTGAAAAAGGACCCACTTAAACTGGAATACGAATTAATAACAAACCACAGGCATTTGTTACATTACTTTATTTATCTAAATATGTTTAGGTCACCTTTTAGGACAAAGCTGTCGCATGGCAACATAACCAAAACCACATGTATGTATATAATAATCCAAAAAAGTAGTAAACATTTCAACAATAACAGTCAGCATTAAACCATTTAAAACAGCTGAAATGTTTCATTTTTCCATCCAGCATTGTCAGGGAGTAAATGGGTCTTTAAAAGCATGTATTGATGGTACCATATTCCCATTTGTTGGAATAGAATTCCACAAATGTGGGCCCACCATGAGAAGCGCCTGTCTCTTGTGCACACTAACTGAATTGATATAAATGGCAGACCTATTATAGACTCTCTGAAGCTGATCTTAGAGCATGGGCAAGTTCATACAGGTGAAGGCAGGTCCTCTTAAGGTAATGTGACCCCAAATCAGTGACAACTTTAAAGATCATTACTAAATTGGCCTAGAAATCCATGGGCAACCAGTGCAAAGGGTTGCCCAACTCTGCCACCAACATATAGATGGGCACATGTTTGTTTAGTTTATTTACTGGCGTGCTATTATCTTATAAGGTTGCTAATAAGTAGTCCTCTGGGCAACTCCACAGCATAAAATGACAACATGGAATTGAAAATCCAATATCATGAAAGTAGCTTACACCAGTTGAACATTCTACATAGTCTTCAAAGGCAGACATGTATTCAAGTCTGGATGTCATTAGTGCATGTGTAGCATAGTTTAGGTAAACCCTTTCTGGGTAAAATCACATATGCCGCATCATCCTGAACACATGCAGTGGTACCTTGGGTTACATACACTTCAGGTTACAGACTCCGCTAACCCAGAAATAGTGCTTCAGGTTAAGAACTTTGCTTCAGGATGAGAACAGAAATTGTGCTCCGGCGGCACGGTAGCAGCAGGAGGCCCCGTTAGCTAAAGTGGTGCTTCAGATTAAGAACAGTTTCAGGTTCAGAACGGACCTCCGGAACGAATTAAGTACTTAACCCGAGGTACCACTGTACTGTAAAAGGCACCCTAGCCACCACTGGATTTCCACAGACAACACAAAGTGCAGGAGAACCCCCAAACTCTGAGGAAGTTACATCAGGAGAGGGATGTAACCCCACCCTAGTCTGGTTCCAAACGTCCATACACTTACACTTTGGTTGGTTTCCACAGTCTTTCTGTGTTGCCTTGATTAAATTTTAGTTTGAATGGTTTCATTCATTCCAAAACTGAATCCAGACACCAGTTCAAGGGTTTCACAGCCTCCCTGGGATGAGTATGTCAAAACAAGAGCTAGAGCTATGTGTTATCTTCATACTAATGAAAATTGCACCCTAAATCTCCAGATAACTTCTTTTAGCAAGTGGTAATATTTCAAACTAGATCTTAATTCTTCTTTTGCAATTCCCTATTTTCTCTATTCTCCTTGATGCTCTTTAGATGTTTCAGTGGCAACATTGGAGCTGCTCTTCCAAGGATTCATCCTGCTACTCTGCTGTAATATTTGACCAATGATGATTCCAGTCATTGACCAATGATGATTCCAATCACATAGGTCCTTATCACACATTTGTCACCAAAGCAGAATTCAGGGGTTGATAGTTGAGTGGTGAAGTTGAGTGCAGTTTTCCATTACAAAGGGTCTTCTTACATAGGAACAATATTGGAACATAGGAAGCTGCCTTATACTGAGTTAGACCATTGGCCCCTCTAGGTGACTGGCAGCAGCTATCCAGGATTTTAGGAAGGGTTCTGTTCCAGGTCTACCTGGAGGTGCTGGGGATTAATCCTGGGACCTTTTGTGTGCATATGAGGTGCTCTATTACGGAACTTTGCCTCTTTCTTCTAAACTCTTAAACATTACTGTGTGAATTAAACAGCAGAAAAATGGTTTAACACCACTCCTGTAACATCTACAGAATACTGTAGTATAGTCAGTTAAAGATCTGAGTGTGATGGGCACCTCCCTTAGAAGTATTGAAATGTTAATCTCCTGTGGAAAACAGTCATTCTTAGGTTGACTCAAGGCTGAACAAATACTAATATCTGTAATTAAGGCTGAAAAAACCAGTCATGCATCAAATTGTATCTCTCTTCTCCTCCACCCAGAGGGTACAGTTTTGTGGATGCTTAAAGCAAGAAGAGAGACAGTTAAGATTGTATTGAAGCCAGAAGTTAAAATCTTCATGTTTCAAAGAACTGTTCATTTAGCTCTTGTTTTAATTTATGAATTCATATTGTCCCAACAATTAAGGAGCTTTGAGTTTTTACACTGAGCCATATCCCTTATCAGATGTTTGGTGCTTATATCCAAAGTTAAATTGTCTGAAGGGAATGTGTTCTAACAATTGGCTTTCTATAATTTATGCTAGAAATTAATGTGATAATGAACTCCCTCCGAGGCACTGAGACAAAACCAGGGTTTTAGTCTGCCTGGGAGACTGTTAAGGGGCACCTGCTCTGTGTGACAGATCAGGGCACCTGATGCAGTCTTGCTTTACAAAACTCAAATGTTGCATATTTGGGTGGGGGCAGGGGCAGGGGCACATTGCCAAGCACAGGCACTCTTGGCCCCAGGGCAGTATCAGTTTAGATCTAACCTTGGTCTTCGGTTCCCAATTAGCTAATTACTGAGGATGGCCTATTTTCCAAAAGCCAAGCTGCGGATCCCCTACTTTTGAAAAAATTGATAAATCTATTGTAGTTACGTCTGCAAGGCAATTTTTTGAACAAAATGTGGTGTAGCCTCTAGTAAGCAGAGGATTTTAGGTATACTAAAAAAACAGACTGGGGTTGAGGAATATATGGTTTTCAACATCATGATATATCAGCAGCTAAACATTGTGATATTATGACATATCACAGTGTCTGAAATTTGGAGATCGGGTGGATGGGGTGCATGCAGATCAGATGTGAGGATGGGGGGAAGAAGTAGCCACGAAGATCAGATGGGGGGGGGGAGGGAAGCGGAGTCACCTCTACTGCATGCTTTGAGTGGGAGGGGATGGTTGGGGGGGCGCATGAAGCCGCCATCAGTGGGGCAGCCAGCGAAAGACCCACGTCCACTGTGGCTGCTGTTGCTTTTCTGTTGACTGAGAAAAGCTGCTCTGCCTCAGTGCCAGAGGAAGGTAGTGCCACGGTGCCTTGAAGGGCAATCAGCTGCCCTGTTTTCCATCAGTGTGAGAAGGAGGTAGTGCCTCACAATTGGCTGCCCTGTTTTCCCTCAGCGTGAAGGAAGGCATCTCAGATAATATTGGCTGAGATCATTGTGCAATACTGGCAGTGCCTTGAAATCGGCTGCCCTGTTCTCCCTCATGCGAGGAGTAATATATTGCTGCGTATTGCCAGGTAAAAATCGTTATCGTGGTGTGATTTCAAGACAGATTTTGGCCAATATATCGAAAAATCGCACAGTGCTAAAACAGACCATAACATTTGAGATATTACTATGCAAAAATGACAAAAAGATTAGCTGGGAGGGAGAGGCAAGGGCCCCCTGCATGTGTTCTGTGGACCTCCAGGGGTCCCTGGACCCCTAATTGGGAACCACTGCTCTAGATGTTACTGAACTACAAAACTCATCATACTTGGTTATGCTGTTTGGGGCTGATAGGAGCTGTGGTTCAGTAACATCTAGAGGACCATGTGTTAGCCATCCTAAGTTTAAACCCTCCACATATAAATAGTTATAAACAGTGGGGGGAAACCAAGCCAATTCTTCTCAAATGTCGAAACTAATCTTCCATTTTTAATTCCATTTGGAGTTAAATGGCAAGGAAATGCTAAAAGTAGTCCAGCAAAATTGTACCCACCCCTGCTGCATTCACACCTGCTGAGGGTAACACTTCATGCAGCTGATGAATTGCGTGATAGTTCCCCAAAACTTGTGCCATAATATTTGCCTACTCTAAATGAGTAGATATTGCATATTCAGTTGTGTATGCAACTGAATATATGCAACTTTGAATATAAGGTTTGTTGATTTAGGTGTTGTTTTAATAAAAATCAATGCATCAGGGAGAAGGCCATCTGAACTTCTTGGGGGAGGGCATTCCAAAGCACTGGGCCAAAACCAAAAGTCTCCTCAAGAAGCAAAGCAATCTCCAAAAGAGTTGTAATTTGAATTAAAGCCTTGCAGATCTCAGTTGCTGAGAGAGTAGGCTTATGTAGAAGGAGGCATTTGCTGAGATAATCGGGACCTAGGCTGTATTGCGTTAAAAGCACTTTGAAGTGGCCTCCGATGAATTGGCAGCCAGTGAAAGCCTTTTCCCATGGTTGATTGCTTAGTATCACCAGATGTTATAGAAAAATTATAATTTATTGAGAGGGTGAGGTGGGGTGGGAGGTAGATAGACAGCTGCCACATTTGAAAGGCAAATGTGTCCTAATTTGATAGAGAAGTAGCTCAGCGTTTCACATGGTTGGTATGTAAATAATATTGGTGTTGCAGTAAAATAAAGTTAACACACAGGAAGGTTAGACTAGAAAAGGAATCAAGCTGTTAAAATGCTCTGAGAATACCTTCCTGGAGGAACACTGGCTAGTGGGCCTCACTATCTTTATTAAATATCAAAGCTATATGATAATGACACGTAGACCTTAATGGCTGGATTGATTAACTGCCCCCCCCTTTGAATGGAAGAACGTGTATAGCTGTCTAGTAGAGCAGGCAGATACTAGCTTGATTGCATCCAGATTGGGTTTCTGTGGAAGCTTTTCATCAATAAGTAATCCTAGGTATTTAAATCGATGTGCTTGCTCGAGGGTGTGACCATCTAATGTCCACTTAGGCTTGGTAACCCTCTTACCGAATACAGCAACCTTAGTTTTGGCATAACTTTTAGGTGTTCTTTTTTGCACAGTTGGCCAAATTTGGCCAGCATCCTTCCGAGTCCAATTTTGTTCAAAGAGAGCAGGACTAGGTCATCAGTGTAAAGCAGAATGGACACTTTGCGATTTCCATGAGAGGGAGAGAAGGAGGAAGGGGATGCCATCTCAGGGATGAGATTGATGATAAATACGAAAGGTACCAATACGCAACCCTGCTTGACCTCTTTTAATCAGATAATGAGTTTGTGAAGGGATGCATTAAGCTTTAGAAATTGGTTCTTGAAAAGTATAGAACCAAAGATGGCATTACAAAGCATAAAAAGCAAATAACCAAAATATTAGCCTTAAGAATAAAAACAAAAAAACCAGTAACCAAAATTTTAACATAAGACTCAAAACAATTGTAGCTGATGTCTTTTTACCAGGTTCTATATCTAATCCCTAAAACCCAAGAGTGTGAGGCTATGCTTGTGTCTGTCTTCTAAAGTTGACAGACTTTGATCTTACAGGATTTACTTGGGTTTTTTTTTTACTAGGGTCCTGAGAAACATCAACCAGAGCTTGGTACAAAAGACATACACCCAGCATTAAAGAATTCTGAGACTAAGAATTTGTTTTGCGTGCACAGTCCCTGCACACAAATATCTTCTCTGGGATTTTTTAATTTCAGCATTGTGATTTAGAGTGGAGATGGGGTCATTTTGTTGCTGCTGTTCGGAAGGTTGTGTCTGCTTTGCTCCTCCCCAGTCATCTCACTGCTGCGCTGCACTGACCTAAGCCATTATTTGGCTTAGCATATTTTCCGAACCTGGGCTTGCCATTTAGCTCTCTTCAGACTGACCATGGTCTGTAACCAAGGGTTGTTCCTGGTTTGCTGTTTGTGGCTTGTTCCGAGAGAACTAAGCCACAAGGCTGGGTTCAGATGACTCACCAAGTCAAGGAATGGCTTATCTCAGCATGGAACAGCCCCAAACATTATGCAAGGAAAATATAACTCTGTGTGAAGTATGAACCTGGCCTGTATTGTCTTAAGTATAAACAACCTCAGGGGCAGAGTACAGTGGTACTCTGGTTATGAACTTAATTCGTTCCGGAGGTCCGTACTTAACCTGAGGTACCATTTTAGCTTATGGGGCCTCCTGCTTACCACGCAATTTCTGTTCTCATCCTGAGGTAAAGTTCTTAACCTGAGGTACTACTTCCGGGTTAGCGGAGTCTGTTTGTAACCCAAGGTACCATTGTATAAGTTAATTAAATAATAAAAAGCCTGAAGTATGGGGAACATCACAAATTTAAACGCTCTTTCTTTTCTGTACTCTCACAATGTGTCCAAGCTTTGATTTTCTAAACCACATACATGCTTCAAGGTTTTCTATTGTCATATGTAAAAAAGAAAAATGAATTGTGGATGTTAACATCACTTTCAGATGAACACTGAAGGCAGGCAGTACTTTCCAGGCATCTGTCTTTATTGTGTAATTTGTATTGTGGTGCAGTTTGTATTGTGGAACATAGAGCACAATGATAGAATTAAAGAATGTTGGACTAGAGGGCATACAGCTAGGAATACCATATTAAAAATGTGAAGGTGATAGAATAGTTGGCATTCTTACTGGTTTTTGGTTTTACATTACCACACAAAACAGCATTTTCCCCTCAGATAATCATATTGGTAGTAATTATTATTCTTTGGTTTAACCTGATTAACATTTCCTTTAAGAAAGAAAAAGGGGGAAAGTCATCAAGTCTTTCATTCACGCCACGCAATCCATTAGATCTGCTATATCTATGAAAGTACTTTTAATAACTTGCAGAAATTGCTTCTTAAAAAAATGTGTCTTGCAGTGGATGAATTTTTTTTTATTCAAAACAACAGTTCATCTTCTCAAATACTTTCCCAGGGGTAACCAGTACAGTCTCTTTTTCTCTTTTTCACATGTTTTTAAAAGGTGCAAATTACTGTCTCTAATGTGTGCACACACATGCATTGTGCCGAGAAGAGGAAGCTGGCATACAAAGGGTTACCCTGGCTACATTTGGGAAAGCTGCCTGACTATTACATCATCTTGTAATCATTATCTGCCTCTGGCTCCTGACCTTATGCTAAAAAATCCTGCGCTTTTAACTGCCCTTTCACTTGGGTTTATAATTTGATATTCTTGGGTTACCAAGGTTTGCATTGAGTAAGGCAGTTTCTAAGATTTTGAAGAACAAATATATTTCTGGATGTTGTGGGAGAAGTAATCTTCCTGACTTAAGCATAGACAGTGTCATACACAATAATCTCTCCCTCTCTCTCCAGAGAGAGAGAGAGAGAGAGAGAGAGAGAGAAAGAAAACGCTTCTTAGGTTGAGAGTATTGCTTATCTCTTGCACACAATCTTCTCCTTCCTATTTTGATGCCTTATCTAGAAAATGGCTCTGTTTTCTGGCAGGCAGAGTGCTTCACATCAGTCTGCCTGTCTGAGTGAGGCTCGGCACTGTTGAGAGAGGCTTATGTCTGACAGTGCCATTAAAGGATATGAAATGTTCTCTGAAAGACTGACAGTCCCTTGTAAGAAGGGCTGCAGGAAATGACTGTATTGGGTGTGGAAGGAAAAGCAGAACTGCCTGCTTGCTTGAAGAGAGTAATAGGAATAGTTGGTTTTTTTAAAAAGTACCCCACACTGATGTAATTCCCATTTAAGATAAACAGAATTTTCAAGAAAGTATTCATGAGTTTATTTGCTTTGAAGAAACCCCATTGCAATTAAGGGGGATTACCTGAGGTAAATATGCTTCGTGCATGGACTTTTAGACTTGTGTTAAAAAACTTTTGAATAATATACAAGCTTCAAGCAGCTGTCTTGTATGGCTGTGAATTCAGTTTCTAATAGACCTCAGCAAAGCAAGTAGACTGTGGTGTTATAAGAAAATGCTCAAGCACAATTAACATTGTCGGTAGCTTAGTGGGTAAATGCGGGCTGTAATATTAGTGATCTTGAGTGCTATGATACATTAGCCTTTATCTTGAAGGAGTTGACTGATGAGAGTAAACATGTGATGCGTTCTGCTTCTTAAAGTGCCAGGCAGGCTTTCTTAAGCAGATGTTAGAGACTTCTTCCGTATGTTGCTTTCCAAATAAGGGAGAAGTGGTCAAGTCCAACACACATGTGCACTTGGATCCCCAAAGGGTATGGTAGGCAGCCCATTTTGCTTGGGCCCTGTGTTTAGCTGATATCCTTTCTCTGGATCCCCTGAGAGGAGGCTTTGTGGCCCTGATTCCTCCTTCATACTACCATTCAAGTACAGTGGTACCTCGGGTTACAGACGCTTCAGGTTACAGGCGCTTCAGGTTACAGACTCCGCTAACCCAGAAATAGTATCTCGGATTAAGAACTTTGCTTCAGGATGAGAACAGAAATCATGTTCCCGCGGTGGCGCGGTGGCAGCAGGAGGCCTCATTTGCTAAAGTGGTACCTCAGGTTAAGAACAGTTTCAGGTTAAGAACGGACCTCCAGAACGAATTAAGTTCTTAACCCGAGGTACCACTTTATGAATAAGTTTGTTTGCTTTAGCTACTATTTTGTTCCATAGTGCAACTATTCTTTTTACTTTTTCATGGCAGCGTGCTGATAAATCTAGGCATAACTCTGATGTCAAGAGGCATCACAGCATGGGTGTAGCCAGGATTTATGTTAGGGGGCGGACTTCATTGGGGGGGTGAACCTCAGTTTTTTAATTGATTTACATGATTTAGAGGGACAGCCCCCCCCCCCCGGCTACACCTATGCATCACAGTACATGCAGAACCAATTTTGGTGCTGCAGCCTTCCCTGTGATACCATGGTGACTCACCTTGAAGCATTCTGTTTGGGGAAGAGTCATTGCTGGTGGTAGCAGATGTCCTGCATGCAGAAGGTTCTGAGTTCAGGCCACAGTCTGAGCAAGTGGTGATGGGATAACTGGATGAGTGGTCCATCCTGTTTTTGCCTAAAGCCAACTTCATTGGCTGATACTGTTCTGGTGAATGGGTGCTGAGTGAATTGCAGTTGGTCACTCTTTAAGGCAGGGTACCCAATGTGCCCACCAGATGATCTTCAGCTCTCTGCTAATAGGGGGCTGATGAGAATTGGAGTCCAGCATCATTCTAAGGGCATCAGGTTGGCTCCTCTTTTTAGTTTTTCCCCTTTGCTTTTCCAGGTTTCCTCCAGCAATTATTTTTTTTCTAGACTAGTAAGATGCAGATGGAGCTGGTTAGATGCTTAGTGTCAACTTCTTAGAAATCAATTGGACATGTTCTGTAAATGCCGCCTATCGGTTGACTTGTTTGTGTCAACCAGCCTTCTCTGGCTCTTCATTTTGGGCTTTGGTCCCACAAGCTGTTCTTGTGTGTATGTATGTGGCCAGAGACAAATGCTTGACCAGATTCCCATCTTTTTCAGCCTGGTTACAATTACTGCATGTTCTTCCACATGCGAGAATATTTACGGTTTGTGCAATACTGTTGCTAAGCTACAGCCATAGTGCAATTGTTCAGACATTAAAAATGTGTGCTTCTGAAGGACACTTGTACATTGCATTCAGAAAAGATACAATGGGAGCCTCACAGCCTCAATTTTCAAATGCACACAGTTGCAAAATTTGAAACTGGAATTATAACAAAACAGCAACTTAGTACCTAAGACTAATGCCATGCTGAAGCCTTCTCTTCAGTTCTGGGAAATCTGCCCTCTCCACCTCCACAAAAAAGAGAGAGAAGGAGGCAGTTGATTTACGGTCCCTTTCACGGTGTAGGAAAGAATTATTACTTCAAAATTGTTCTGGAGAGCACAGCTTTGCCGCTTCCCTTAAGTTACAAGGTGGCCAAAGGGTGAGAGATGTTCTCACGTTGACTTAAACCGCCCTCAGTGCACTCCATAGCTTCTCCAGTGTTCCAGAGAGTGAGACCTCAGGTTACAGACGCTTCAGGTTACAGATTCCGCTAAGCCAGAAATAGTACCTCAGGTTAAGAACTTTGCTTCAGGATGAGAACAGAAATCATGCTCCGGCGGCGTGGCGGCAATGGGAGGCCCCATTAGCTAAAGTTGTTCCTCAGGTTAAGGACAGTTTCAGGTTAAGAACGGACCTCCAGAACGAATTAAGTTCTTAACCCAAGGTACCACTGTATAGCTATAGATATAGATTGCAATGGCGTTTAGCCACAATGCAGGTTTGACCTGATTCTTTCTTTGTTTCTTTTTTAAAGAATTGCCTGGCTCCCAGGCTCTCCCATGAGCATTGTCTATCTCACTTTCTGGAATGGCAGGGAAGCTGTAGAGTGCTGCAGAATAGCACGAAGAGGCTACAGTATTTATTAAAGAACAAATACACCCCTATCCCTCAGCTACTTCATAACTTTAACATTTGAGGTTGTTGGCCTGACGTATCTTCCCTGCCCTTTTCACTTTTCACTCTTCCCGCAACAAAAACCTGACAACCAGAATGGGCCTGATTATTAGAAGGATTTTATGACACTTAGTTCCAGGCAAAAAGGGGATTAAAAAGGACTAAGATTTAACAGAATCTGCTAAGATTTAATAGAAAAATAATGGGAGGAAGACTTGGAGGACAGACCAACCGGAATGGAATGGCCTGACAACATTCAACATCAAGCACCGCAGGCATATCTACATATTTAGGTGGCATGCTGTCCTCTTACCATGGGTGATGTTTTAGATAGGTGCACAGAAGTGTGAAACATTATTCTGTCCTATGGTTTTCAAACACTTTCCCAGGATTCCTCAGATGCTTACTGGGATTTCTTAATAAGACCACTTAATAACAAATAAGCTTCCCGGAAAGACAGCTTGGCCCCACTGCTGAGTTTATTCTAGGGCCCCCTCTTGGATCATGCATGGTGACACTGAGAACCAGCAATACTGGTTGGTATGAACCTTAGAATGTGCTTTGGACTCTGGGTGTTCCTTGGCAGATGAATTTGATTTGAAAGGTAGGAAGTTAGAATGGTGGTTTTCTTACTACCATACTTCCTTAACTTATTCTTAGCTCATTTGCTCAGGAGGCTTAAGGACATGGAGTGAAGAGCCCATTTTATGTTGGTTTTTGCATGCCTCTAAATTGAATATGAAATTTATTACTTGCTGTAATAAAATAGGTCACAGGGGTATACTCTGATCCAATTAATACTATAACCTACTTGCTTGCAACATTTCGTAGTCTATTAACAAAAAATTCCACACATGGTTGGGGTAAGAAATGCTGCTGGTGTGATATTTTTGAGAGAATGTTGAGAAATAGCACCTTAGGATAAATGTAGTTGTTGGAATATAATAGGTTTTTTAATGTCTATTGTTCTATAAGCACCAAGAATTCTTTGCAGCAACTGCTATATTCCAGGCTCTCCTGTTCAATTTCCATTTATTTCAGTAAGTTTTTCAGAATTCTTTTCCATTCTAAACAAAATGAGAGGCGTTTTGTGGGGCATTTTGTGTGTGTTTGTGAGACCCACATCGTATCCCATTACAACTTGACAGGTTGCTGTTGGGAGATGGACAACTGTAACCTCAACAAAATGTTGCAGTGTGGAATGTTTCTTTTCAGTATGTCAGCCATAGTGCAAAAAAAGTTGCTTCTGGATTTTGTGGTCCTATGTGCAAATGAAGTTGAACTAGCCAAAACATGAGTGTTTTCTGTGAACATGCTGGCTATGGTCCTGCTCCCAGTTATGTGAAATAATTACTTATCATTAAGATAAATGGGATTAACTGTGTGCTGGTTTTCTAGAGGGGCAGTTGTGTTAGTCTGTTGCAGCAAAGAGTCTTGATGCAACTTAAAGCCTGACAAATGTATTGCAGCATAAGCTTATGCCAAAATAAATGTATTACAGTGGAACCTTGGGTTGTGGATGTAATCCGTGATGGAGGCACGTCTGCAAACTGCAGCGTTCGCATCCTGAAGCGCTGCATCTGCGCCGGCGCAATTTGGCGCTTCTGCGCAAGCGCGAAGCGCAATCTAGCACTTCTACGCATGCGCGAGCGGCAAAACCCGGAAGTAACCCGTTCCGGTACTTCCGGGTTTCCTGCAGTCCGCAACCCGAAAATACGTAACCTGAAGCATCCGTAACATGAGGCATGACTGTATTGTTTATAAGGTGCCACAAGGCCTTCTGTATATTGGATTGGATCCACAGTGAGTTTTTTAAATTTAAAAACAAACAATTAAAAAAATATATCTGTCAACACACTTCTCAGGTCTTTTAACGGCTTTCCCCACCCCCAAAGAAGTTCATCAGATGTCATGTGAGCCAAGACCTGGTGTTCCTACTGTCAGCAGGATCTAATGCCTCCTTTGGTGGCATGAGAGTGCGAAGGACCCTGTGTCAGACGAGAGTGCCAAAGCTACTGCAAACGCTATGTTAAAGAACAGATGGCATTAGAACATCTCTGTGACTGTTGCACCTTCTCATCAGTCAAGCTGCTATATCATACCTTAAAGTGGTGCCATCTCCACACATTTACTTTCATTTCCCTCAGGGAAAGGTGTACATTCCCCACCCGATTTTCTAGCCTGTAGAATGCAGCATTTCTCAACCCAGGCCACCCAACTTTCCTGCAGATCACTGCTCATCAAACTTTCTTGCTTTAGGGGATCCTTTCCTCAGTGACTTGTTTGTTGCAGAACTCCTGCATGTTGTGAGTGATTCTGGGATGTGTCCATGCATCCTGCATTGCCAGGCTGGCTAGGCCTCTCCGTTGCTAAGCAAGACCTGAAAGCTTAACCCAGAACAGTGGTAGCCAGTGTGCTGCCCTCCAGATGGATAGAAGTTGGAGTCAAACAAAATCCAGACGGCTACTCTTTGCCCTAGAGCACAGGTTCCTAAACTGTGGTCTGCAAACTTCATTCATGGGGCTGTGGTGTGTCAAATAGTCATACAGATTTTAAATTTCATTTTTATTGCTTTTTATTTTTTGATTGACGCTTTTGAATTATGGTGTTGGAGAGACTCTTGAGAGTCCTATGGACTGCAAGAAGATCAAACCTCTCCATTCTTAAGGAAATCAGCCCTGAGTTGGAAAGACAGATCCTGAAGCTGAGACTCCAATACTTTGGCCACCTCATGAGAAGAGAAGACTCCCTGGAAAAGACCCTGATGTTGGGAAAGATGGAGGGCACAAGGAGAAGGGGATGACAGAGGACGAGATGGTTGGACAGTGTTCTTGAAGCTACCAGCATGAGTTTGACCAAACTGTGGGAGGCAGTGGAAGACAGGAGTGCCTGGCGTGCTCTGGTCCATGGGGTCACGAAGAGTTGGACACGACTAAACAACAACAATTTCTTAACATTACAATTTGAATAAAATTAAAATTAAAAAGTTCTACAGCATCTAGCACAGCGTGTTACATTTGCTACAAAAAAAATAATAAAAAATAATAAAATAATAATTGAGTGGTCTGCCAAGAGCCTCAGCAATTTTAATGTTGTCTGTGGAGAAGAAAGTTTGGGATCCCCTTCTTTAGAGTGTATAAACATTCTCCCAAAGCTGTCACTTTAGAGGGCAAATCAGGAAGCTGTATTTCGGGGATGTTTCTCCACCAGTTTTGATCATTTATTGAGGTGCTCCCGACCATTTCCCAAGGATCTCCAGATTGCCTTCTAACACTACTGCGCTTGCACAAGCTCATGCAAAAGCAACCCCAGAGTCATCTGCAACTGGACCTAATGGTCAGGGGTACCTTTTCCTTGATGCCCATATGTTCACTCTTATAATGTATGATCATTTATCTTTGTCTTAAGGTGGACTTCTTTTGCCTCTTCTCTTATTACAGGAAATGGTTTTGTGAATTCACGAGCTTCACCAGGCCTGCTTAGCAGCACCGGGGGTGGGAATGGCCTAAGCAAAGGGATGCCTACAAAATCTCCCCCTCCCCCTGGCGGGGGCAACCTTGGAATGAACAGTCGCAAGCCAGACCTCCGGGTTGTCATCCCTCCCTCTAGCAAAGGCATGATGCCTCCATTGGTAAGTTTAGCTTTTTGACTTATTCGTAGCTTGGAGAAAGACAAAAGAGACCTTGATCAGGAAGCTAAGAACAAACATTGGCTTGAGAATGTGGTTTGGTGAGAAACAAACTTGCAAGCACTGGTTCAGATGTTACAGAAAGCCAGGCGCTCCATGGTTTGTTTTCCTGCTCAACTAAGGGAGGAGCGAACACAGGCACTGTCAACAGAGCATGCCCATCTGTAAGGGCAAACAGATGGTACTGTAAACATGATTCATATTCCTGCACTGGAGGGCATGTACATGTGAACAGTGGGCTTTTTTTGGAAGCAGTTTTCAAGGGCACAAGGGCTTGCTTTTCTCCAAGCAAAGTACATTGAGGCTTCTCTAAAGTAACTGTGAATTGGTCGAATTTGGGTGTGGACGCTTTGCTTTTGACCATTTTAAATGTGCTTTTCCCATCAACTGTGTGTTGACAATAGGAGTCAGTAGACAGGCTGTAAGTTTACTATACTAAGAAGAAGAAGAGTCCTACTGGGTTAGAGCTTTCTCTCTAGCCTAGCACCCAGTTCCCCCACAACTAGATGCTTCTGGGAAGCTGGCATAGTATCACGTAATGCTTCTTTGCCTACTGAATCACATCATAACTTTGGAATATTAGTGAGGCTAAAAATAGCACCAACACAACTCTTTCATTCTTGAATACTGTCCTATTCTCAGTAACCTTATTATTCCTCTTATTTGCTGAGTACAGTCGGAGGAGGATGAATTGGAGTTGGTGAGTCTGGGTTCCTATTTGGTATGAGACATCAAGATCCGGAGAGCTTTCATGTTAACTGTCTGTTGTAGCTTAGACCAACATTCCCTTTGCTGCAGAGAGAAGCCGGTTGTGATTGGTTTATTTCAAGTTTCTACATTGACCAACAGAATATGGAAAACTAATAAATATTTGCCAAAAACGTTAATATTTTTACCAGTGGTGTTGCAAAGGGGAACGTTGGAACAGAGCCTCTAACAGCAACTGTCCACTGTGCACATTGAGGAGCCTTGAAATTTTCTTCTAAGGCACCTTATATTCCATGTCAAACTCTGCAGTGATTTACTTCACTCATGAAGTTCTGCAAATTGTAATACAGTTCCTGTGTTGCTGCTGCTGCTGCTTTGCTTCTTGGAGATTACATCATTCCTGGTGAGGTCACCATTTTAGAGATCAAGTTAATTTCATGCTCTACAAGAGAAGCAAACCACAAGGGGGTTCCCTGTTTACCAAAAGAAACATACAATTGCAAGCTATTTTCCAATCTAGTGGGGAGGGGAAATGTTTTAGCCTTTTAAAAAGGTTTTTCACAAAGTATTTTTTATGATTTGGTCTCTGGCACATATAAAGCTCTTTCTTTGTTGACTGGAACCTGGCTGTCTTTGCTGTTCTAGTGCAATCATTTTGGAAAGAACTGATTTATTACAAACCTGTGTGGAATTATTGTAGTGCTTTTTATCAATTATTTTAACCCCAGACATGTTGCTGATATGGGGCTCTTGTTGCATGAAAGCATGGGATTGCTGTGTTTGTCTTGGCAAATGCATCGTGTTGGGTACTACGTGTGTGTTTTCAAACCAAAATATAAAGTTCTGTACAAGGTGTAATGGAGCTTATCAACAAACAACCTTTTGCTGCTCTGCATCCATATGCTAAGTGCTAGTGATTATCAAAAGCCCTGTAATTTGTTGCACCTGTGCTCAACTTCCAGAGGGAAAAACGTCTTTTCCCTAGGAAAATGCTAAAGTAACAAGGGGCACTTAGCAGAATTCTGCTAACGAAGTCACTATCGTGTGCTATTTTAAGTCATGTTTGTATTGCTTGTCTTGTGGGTCTTGCAGCAAAGTTCTGCTAGTTTCACAGCAAAGTTCTTTAGGACCTCAGTTGCATAATCTGTTGTGTAGTTCTGCTTCTTCATAAGAAGCAGGGCAGATAACTGTTCAGTTGCAAAAAAGAAAAAAACCCAACCTTTTGGTTTAGCGTGTTACATTAAGGGCTTTCCATAATTCACTTATTCTCCAAAATACAGCAAAATTGTAGCTTTTCAGACCACGCTCTTCACAGGGTGGTATTTATGCAATGTGAATAGTCTGATATTCTATCTTGTGGTTAGTTTAAGCTTCACCATTACTTTGAAACAGGATGGCTGTCAGTGACAGAGGGGTTGAGTCTTAAGTCCCAGATTTGTCTGTTCATTGGAATAGACCCATGGAATCTGTGCGAATGAAGTTACCATTTCACATTACAAGCACCCAACTGGCAAATGTCATCCACATAAAATAATAGTTGGAAGGGACCTGGAAGGCCATCTAGTCAATGTCCTGCTGCAGATATTTATCCATAAGGCACAAGGCAAATAACTATTTTGGCACCTTCCATATTCACATTCTGTGAAGTAGATGGTTTTATAAACTGGGAGCTAAAGATGTGCAGAGTTGGTCAACATAAGGTTAGCCAGTGATTCATACTCATGGCCCAGTGGTTCCTATGAACAACTTGCGGAGGGTGTAGCTGTGTTAGTCTGTTGCAACAAGTCTTGTGTGTGCACTGTAAAAACACAACAAATTTATGATGGCATAAGCTTTTGAGGATTAGAGTCCACTTCAACAGGCTGCTTGTTTCTCCTGCCTCTCAAGTATGAGATCCACAGCTTAGATACTTTCCCCTGAACTGTTGTGATGAAGCATTACATAAATACGGAAGATGTTCCTTGAATTAATTTGAAGCATTTCTAGTACGATGATGAGCTTTACGCTAAAGCCTCCCATTTCAAATAATGAATGCATAAAATGCAGGCAAGGTATCTACTGCTTTGCTTACAGGGTTCAAACTCAGTCTGCAGTCCTGGTCATCTAGCTGAAGGCTGCTTTTACATTTTATAACATTTGAGCGCATACACATGAGACTTGGTGTGTATCTGCACCGCACCCCCAAACCACTCAAAGGAGATGCATGCTTATTTTAATTCCGTTTAAGCATCCAGTGTTGCCTTTATTGTGCTCTGTGTTTATTTGTTACATCCATACATTCTCCTTCCATCAGAATTGCACTATTTGCGTTGGGTGTGTGTGTGACTGTGCTAAATCTTGCAACCTGTCAAAAGTGCAACGCTGAAGTAGCTCTCAATTTCATTAGACAAGGGCAAAGAGTGGTTTCAAGTATGCAAGCTATAGAAGAGGGTTGCCCTCTGGTGGTGTGAGTTGCTTCCTGCAGGAAAGCATGCAGCCAGTTGGAGAAAAAACCTCCTCCAAGCAACTAGGTCATACGTTTGTCATACAAGTTGAAGGTAGCTCAGGCTATATTGCTGCTCTAGGCAAATATTTCAGTGTGCTTTCTCCATACCATGCCTTTTTCTAGACAGGAATAGGGATTGTAAGGTCTTCGCAAGGGTTTTCCTGACTGGACCTCTCCACCCTCCCTGTGCTGCATAAGTGAGTAGAGCAGGTGGAAAGGGCTGCAATTGGGGAGATAATGCAGTACTGTCCCAGATTGTAGTGGCAGAGGCTGCTACATATTTCTCTCTTCCTCTTTACCCCACACACCAGCTCACCGTAGGTTTTGCAGAGTAGCCTGGCCTCTCTTGAAATCTAGCACCTCGGGCAGCTTCCTGACCTGCTTATTGGGTTTAGCTTGTCACAAAGCTAGATTTTTCAGTCTTGAAATTCAGTTGCTTAGACAGTTCCATTTTTCTCAGCAATTCCCGTCCCCCCCCAAACCCACTCCATTGCACCTTGACCAAAGAAACCAAAGAAATTCAAACCCTCTCAGCTTCTGACATGTGGACCTGAACTAGTTTTGCATCATCTGTAGAAATTCTTCTTTGGCAAGGCATATTATTAGCGTGGAGGGTGACTTTGGAGAGTTGCATTTATTTTGTGGAGTGTGCACAATCTCCTTTTGGTGCAGTTGGGTTGATAATACTGCACACAATGCATGGTATATTACTTCATATAGTACTACTTATGGCCTTACCTCTTATGTTCCATTTTGCAGAATGCTAATATGGAGTTGAGTGTGACTGGTCCTAGGTTAGTCATTGCATCCCAGCACTCTCCCCTCTGAATGACAGTGGCTCAGAAATAGGTTTACATTTTTCTCTCTCTGATGTTTGTCTTGGCTTTCAAGAAATATTACACAAAAGCCATAGACAAGGAAGATGTTGCCTCAACCTGTGATTAAATTTCATTGTGTATTTGACTTAACTGGGTTCTATGTTTTTGTTAAAAAAAATTTTTACAGAACACACAGCGGTTAAGCAGCTCTCAGTCTACGCAGCCTCTTGCAACACCAGTTGTGTCTGTGACAACCCCAAGCTTGCCCCCACAAGGATTGGTGTACTCTGCAATGCCTACAGCTTACAACACTGGTAAGCTATTCACTTGTTTGCTCTCCCTTCTCCCCTGGGTTTTGATTTTTTGGGGGGAGAAGCCACTGAGAATAACACAAGATTTAAAACTCCAATAAATAAAAACTTAATGGTCTTTTAAATGTCTTAAATTTGAAAAGCTAAGAGTTTAAATGCCAGTGAAATTAAAAGTTATTTGCCTGGCACCCAAATTATAGCAAAGTAGTAGGCACCATGGAAGGTTCCCTGTGTGTGTGTTCTATAGTTGAGAATATGACCTGCCTCACTTGCAGTCCAAAGTGGTACACACCAGAATTCTGCCACTTCATTCTGCGCAATATGTTGGTCAGCTGTTCGAATCTCCGAGGCAGCTATATCTTGCCAGTGGCCTTTTTTCCTTTTAAACATTTTTCTGAAGTATGCTAGATAGTTATTTTAATTTAAATCATGATAGTTTGACTTAGTCCCTGGACTTATCAATATCTAATGTGCAGACATTTCTGTAGCAAGCTGTCATAGCTGCTTTGTGAAAGCTTGAAGTTAAAAACAAAATAAGTCTTGTTGGTAAAAAGCAAGCAGTGAGGAGACCCCAGAAAATAAAACAAAGCCTGTCTTTCCAAATACCGTATTTTTCGGACTATAGGACGCACCGGCCCATAGGACGCACCTAGTTTTCAGGGGGGGAAATCAAGGAAAAAAATATGATTTCCCCCCCGCAGCTCTGGGAGCAGCGGACAGGCTGCACGCAGCCAGTCCCCTACACCAAGACCGTCTCCCTGCTTTTGCGGGAGGTGGCGGAATTCCCCACCTCCCGCAAAAGCCCACAAGAGCCCCGCGCGACTCCTGCGGGCTTTTCGACCAGGAGGGAGAAGGGACTGAAACGGCCAGTCAGTCCCTTCTCCCTCCTCGGGAAAGCCCCAAGGCAGCGCGCTCTTTAAAGGGTGCGCGGGTCCTGCAGGCTTTTCTAGGAGGTGGGGAATTCCCCCTCGTAGAAAAGCCAGCAGAGCTGCGGAGCCCCTTTAAAGAGCACGAGGCTTTGCGGGCTTTTGCGGGAGGTGGGGAATTCCCCATCTCCCCCAAAGCTCGCAGGGAGGAGAAGGGACTGACTCGGCCAGTCAGTCCCTTCTCCCTCCTTGAGGAAAAGCCCCAAGAGCCGCTTGCTCTTTAAAGGGTGTGCGGCTCCTGCGGGCTTTCTAGGAGGTGGGGAATTCCCCACCTCCTAGAAAAGCCGCGGAGCCCTTTAAAGAGCGCGCGGCTTTGCCTGCTTTGCGGGAGGTGGGAATTCCCCATCTCCCGCAAAAGCCAAAGGAGGGTTGGAGAGTAGCGGGAGGGCGTCGCACGCCTTCCCGCTGCCCCCAATCCTCTGGGGCTGGCGATGGGGGCCGCGCTGCTTTCCCCACCGCCCGCCTCGACGCCGGGTTGGAGGGGAGCGGCAAGGCGGCGCCCGCCGTCCTGCTGCCCCCATCCTCTGGGGCTGGCGATGGGGAAGCGCTGCTTTCCCACCGCCAGCCTCGGCCGGGTTGGAGGGTAGCGGCAAGGCGTCGCGCGCCTTCCCGCTGCCCCCATCCTCTGGGGCTGGCGATGGGGAAGCGCTGCTTTCCCCACCGCCAGCCTCGGCCGGGTTGGAGGGTAGCGGCAAGGCGTCGCGCGCCTTCCCGCTGCCCCCATCCTCTGGGGCTGGCGATGGGGAAGCGCTGCTTTCCCCACCGCCAGCCTCGGCCGGGTTGGAGGGTAGCGGCAGGCGTCGCGCGCCTTCCCGCTGCCCCCCATCCTCTGGGGCTGGCGATGGGGGAAGCGCTGCTTTCCCCACCGCCAGCCTCGAAGCCGGGTTGGAGGGTAGCGGCAAGGCGTCGCGCGCCTTCCCGCTGCCCCCCATCCTCTGGGGCTGGCGATGGGGAGCGCTGCTTTCCCACCGCCAGCCTCGGCCGGGTTGGAGGGTAGCGGCAAGGCGTCGCGCGCCTTCCCGCTGCCCCCATCCTCTGGGGCTGGCGATGGGGAAGCGCTGCTTTCCCCACCGCCAGCCTCAGCCGGGTTGGAGGGTAGCGGCAAGGCGTCGCGCGCCTTCCCGCTGCCCCCATCCTCTGGGGCTGGCGATGGGGAAGCGCTGCTTCCCCACCGCCAGCCTCGGCCGGGTTGGAGGGTAGCGGCAAGGCGTCGCGCGCCTCCCGCTGCCCCCATCCTCTGGGGCTGGCGATGGGGGAGCGCTGCTTCCCCACCGCCAGCCTCCAGCCGGGTTGGAGGGTAGCGGCAAGGCGTCGCGCGCCTTCCCGCTGCCCCCATCCTCTGGGGCTGGCGATGGGGAGCGCTGCTTTCCCCACCGCCAGCCTCAGCCGGGTTGGAGGGTAGCGGCAAGGCGTCGCGCGCCTTCCCGCTGCCCCCATCCTCTGGGGCTGGCGATGGGGAAGCGCTGCTTTCCCACCGCCAGCCTCAGCCGGGTTGGAGGGTAGCGGCAAGGCGTCGCGCGCCTTCCCGCTGCCCCCATCCTCTGGGGCTGGCGATGGGGAAGCGCTGCTTCCCCACCGCCAGCCTCAGCCGGGTTGGAGGGTAGCGGCAAGGCGTCGCGCGCCTTCCCGCTGCCCCCATCCTCTGGGGCTGGCGATGGGGAAGCGCTGCTTCCCCACCGCCAGCCTCAGCGCCGGGTTTGAGGGTAGCGGCAAGGCGTCGCGTGCCTTCCCGCTGCCCCCCATCCTCTGGGGCTGGCGATGGGGGAAGCGCTGCTTTCCCCCACCACCAGCCTCAAAGAGCAGACTCTCCTGGCTTCAGCGGAAGCCACGCCAAGCCTCCGGAGCGCAGGCGCGGAGGCTTGGCATTGCTATCGCTGAAGCCGAGTAGTCTGCATTCGCTCCATAGGACGCACACACATTTCCCCTTCATTTTTGGAGGGGAAAAAGTGCGTCCTATGGTCCGAAAAATACGGTAATAACCTAGTACCTTGTTAAGCATTTGGTGTGGTCACTGAGAGGTCCCATCTACCCTGTTTTTGCTATAGGAACTCAAGCATCTATGGCAATGTCATATTGGACTCCTTTGACATTGTGCTGGCACAGCAGTTGGTGTGTCTTATTCTAATCACCTACTTGCTGGCACAGCAAATTTGCAGGGATGAGCTCCTGGAGAGATGCGTAATCAAGCACCTGAGGTTTAAACTGCTGTATCTCAAAGACGATTCAATCCCTAGAAGCTCCTGTTAAAATATAATTGAAGGACTTTACCTCTCTTAATAGTGCTGTAGGCCCTATTAGATGCTCACATCTCTTTCATGAACATTCAGACCTAATTTAAAAGATGTCTCCGACTTACATTTATTTTATTTATTAAATTTGTATACCACCTTTTTTATCTGAAGATCACAGGGCGCTTCACAACATAAAAAGACAAAATGAAAACATAACAACAACAACAACAACAACAACAACAACAACAATATTTTTTAAAACAGAGACAAAAGCAACATGCATTATGATTTTTGGATTGATTTTGCATACTCAAGTGTTCTTGATTTTGAAGTCCAAGGAAGTTCTCTTGACTTCAGTCTCTGATATCCTAGACGATAATTTATGGATTAAAAAAACCACCCGGAGATGAAAATTGTATCTGTCTCACGGGAACACACTTTTATCTCCTTTTCCCCCCAAGAGGGTAGAGCATATATAAAGCTGTATTAGAACGTGATTAAGTGTAGAAAAGCTTTTACAGCTCTCTTTCCAAATTCAAAGGAAAAACAAGTGATAATTATGAACTGAAATAACTTCTTATGTGTGAATCAGTAGTGATAACACTCTAAGTACTATATATCCTAGATTTAAAACTCAAATATCTAATTGGTCAAAAACACAGAGGTTTAGTTTTGCATGCTGCATTCATGCAACTTTTGAGAGAGATGTTTGAGTCAGCCACTTCGCAGCACATAAAATGAAAAATGGGTCTAAAAAAAAAAAAGACAGGTAACATGCAGTTCTTCAGTCTTTGTTATGCTGTCCATGGGAGCTTGCTGTTAATTCCACCATTCTTCCCTTCCTTATGAATGTGCACCTAGAATTCATTTTTGGTATATAAATTCTATCAAGGATTCTTGTACTTTGACTTGCAAGCAGAAAGCAGATAAGAGACTGTCATGCACAGGCTCACAGCTCCTGCCAGTGTTTCAACATTCATCCCCCAAGAGCGAAAATAACAGCAGAATTAATGGTGAGGGGTTTATTTTGCCTTTTGTTTTGATGGCACTGTAGTCTGGAAAGATGGTAGCAATATGCCTTGGAAACCAAAAGGGCATGAGACAAAGCCACGAGTAACTTGGGAGAGTCCCCTTTGAACCAATCTCATAGCTTCCAAAGAATGAGCTTGATGTAAAATCCATGCTACTTGGAGACTGATGTTTCTCCTTTCATATCAGCATTTGCAGCTTTTGCTGGTGTAGAATGGATTTCTGCCTTACCAAATTTCATTGTCCGAATAACATTCCTTACTAGTTTCGCTTGCCGTGAACTTGCAGGGGTTGCAAAGTGCTGGTTTTAAAGCTGTAGATTTCATCATTCACTTTAACAGTGAATCTGACAGTGAATTCAGGTGGTTGAGTGCCTATCAGTTTGGAAGTGAAACCAGGGGCACCCCAAAACTAGGCAGCTGTTTCTGCATTCTTGGGGAGTAACTTTGGCATGCAGAAAGTTTGTACATTGGAAGTGTTTGTATTACAATGTGTTTGTGGTTTTATTGAAATTTTAATAGCCTAATTTATTTGTGTATGCTTTTTTATTCGTCTCGCTTGGTGAGCTTCGTAGCCAGTGGATGTTAAAAGAAAAGAAAAAGAACATTTAAAATCCCCAAACTGCCCTCAAAACATCTGTCAGGTCCCAGGGTTTAGAGAATGTGGGTAGCAAGGGGCAGGGATGGTCCAAAGGTACCAGAAATCAGCAGACTGTGTGAGTCTTATCAGTTAAGTGTATGTTTGAGAATAGTTCAGGCATTCCAGTTTTTGCAGGGGTGGGGGCTGCGGGGAGGAAGAAGAAGGAAGTTGGCTGTTTCAGACTTATAGTAAGAATCCTAGAGAGGCAGGTTAAGTTTATGAGGATGTTGTGAGCGCAATCCCTCTTGCTATGCTATATAGGAATGTTTCTGGAGGAAGTAAAATTGAAAGCACGCCTTTCTCCCTCTCCAGAACCAGACCTACCCACCCCTGCAATATAGCAATAAAAAAGCTCAGATTTGGGACTCAACCTGACCTGAGCCATTTAGCACTACATAGGAGACTAGGTGAAGGTCAAGAGAGAGAAGAAAGAAAAGGGCAACATTTGTCCATTTTCTTTTGAGTGGATTATACAGGAACATAGAGGGTGGAAATATAGCTTTAGAACCATTAGTTCTCTTTGGGCCTAGCCTTGAGAGTCACTTGAATGGAGGGCATGTGTGAATTACACTTTTTAATAATGGTATAGAGAAAATTTGCCGTTTGGGTCTTGAGGTGAAGTTAGCAGTTTTAAGATCACAGTCTTCCAAACCAGGCTCAAAGCCGTTCTGCCATAGTGTGCCTGAGGGAGTTGTCATGGATTCAAATGCCTGTCCTCAACACAGTGCTGGCTGGTGTCAGCCCATGAATCTGTAACTTACACTTTCTGATGAATACATGGTACAAATAATTTTTTTCTCTTTCTTGCTCCTTTCTTCCTTTCAGATTATTCCTTGACTAGTGCAGACCTGTCGGCCCTGCAGGGTTTTAACTCCCCAGGAATGCTGTCATTAGGACAAGTATCTGCCTGGCAACAGCATCATCTAGGACAAGCAGCCCTCAGCTCCCTTGTGTAAGTGGGAACACTCTCCCACCCCCATTCCCTGGAGGATTGGCAGCCTTTGCTAAGTTACACCCAACTAGGCACCTCTTCCATTTAGCCCACAAGCTCAGACTTGGCCCTATTTGGTTAGGCACAATGCTCTTTAACACTTCACTTTGAGTGGGTTGGGTATACATGGGTAGCTTGCTCAGTGTACATACTCATTTGTGACTTGTAGGTGTTTTGCAACTCAGTGGGCTTGGAAAGTTATTTTGTAGGGAAATCCTTCTGCTCCTGCTTGTGCATTCATTGTCCAGCGCACCCCCCCCTGCAAATAGTGATATTTTAACCTTCACTTCATTTGAATAAATACTCCAATACAAATGAAACTGAGCTGACCATGAATAAACTAAGCGGAGGGGTTGCCAGGAACTAGGCCGCACACTTAGAGCTTGTGCATATGGCTCTAAATGGATTGCCGATCTGAGCACTCAGGCCTCTATTACTGAATTGAAGGAACAGCAGCACTTAAAAGTGCTCTATTAGTCATGTACAAACTTGGTTTTTTTAAATTGTCCTTCATGACAGTTTCATTAAGCAGACTGGGGAATTAGTGATCTCAGGTACCCTCTGCACCCTCTATGTTGGGAGCTGCTTCTGGCAGTTGACTAGATGGGTTGTTTTGGATTGCAGCAGTGTAGCTTGTTCTGTAGTGGCTAAAACACTGAAGGGCAACATTATTTTATTACATACACCTGTTTTTAAAACTGTTGATTGTATCTATATTTTGATAAATTTTATAGTGTGCTGTTTTTAAAGTCTGTTTTTATCTATTTAATGAGTATTTTATGTAAACCGCTTAATAATTTTTTAAAATTAAGTGGTATATAAATCTTGCTCCATTGGTTGGATAATAATGCACTGTCCTGGACTGTCTCAGCATCATAAATCTGGGTGGTGCATGAACACCTGTTGTGCCTAGCAATTGGCCTGGTTTGCATGCAATGCTAAACCATCACTTAGGGTTAGGTGCAATTGCCTCTGTGAGTCTCATCAAAGCCTTGGACTCAAAGACTCCCACCTCCCCTCATAGGAATATAGGAAGCTGCCTTATACTGAGACAGGCCACTGGTCCATCTAGGTCAGTACTGTCTTCACCAACTGGCAGTGGCTCTCCAGGGTTTCAAGCAAGGGACATTCCCAACTCTACTTTAGAGGTTTTCCTTACATGCTAGCAGTATAGAAATAAAAGAAATTAAAGAAACATGTAGGTTTAAACCTGGGACCTTTTGCATGCCAAACAGATGCTCTACCACTGAGCTACAGCCCTCTTCCTGCACAACCAGGAGGAATGCAGCTGGTCAGTTGCAAAATAAGCTAACTTCAAACCTTGACTTGTTTTAACATACTAGAGTTTATTTTTTAAACCACACTTCCTGTTCAAACATACCAGCAAGCCAGAAATTGGGGAAAGCAGAACGGAATCTCTATGCGCTTGTCTTTCTGGTCACACAGTGGAAAGGGAAGGGGAAGGAGCCTTGAGGGTGGGGGCATTCAGAGGCTCAAGCATGTAGTGCCAAGCCATGGTTTAGCGTTGCCTGCAAAGTAGCCCATTGTCTTTTGGAACAGAAGGGTATGTTAAAACTTGCGTATATGCAGCCAGATTTGTTCTCAGTCTTGTCCAGCATTGCTGCTGTTCCTTTTCCCCTGCCGTTTCCTTTTGTGTTTGCCTTTCTGAAAGTTTGGGTGGCGGGGCTGTGCCTTGCTTATAGCTCATCTCTGTGAAGCCCTATAAATAACATTGCTTTTCTCCTCCCACCCCACCTCCGGTTTGAATTTTTTACTAGGACTGGAAGCCAGTTATCTCAGGGTTCCAACTTATCTATTAATACCAACCAAAACATTAACATCAAGTCCGAGCCAATTTCGCCTCCTCGAGACCGAGTGACCCCATCCGCGTTCCCCCAGCAGCAGCAGCAGCAGCAGCAGCAGCAGCAGCAGCAACAGCAACAGCAGCAACAGCAGCAACCTCAGCAACAATCACGTCAGGAAATGGGCCGCTCTCCCGTCGACAGTCTCAGTAGCTCCAGCAGTTCGTACGATGGCAGCGACCGGGAGGACCCGAGGAGTGACTTCCACTCGCCGGTTGGACTGGGAAGGCCCCCCAGTTCAGAAGACAGAGAGAGCCCGACTGTAAAGCGGATGAGAATGGATACTTGGGTGACATAAGCTTCCCATTCTCCCTTTCTCCCTTCCGTTTCTACTTTTGAGTTATCCCAATGAACAGTCCTGACATATCTAAATTTATAAATAAGGACATGAAATAAATATTTATATGTATATACATACATGCATATATATAAATATATATATCTTTGTATACATATACATGTGTGAGTGTGTGAAGCAAGGCACACATACTCTCTCTTTCTCTCCCTCACACACAAAATCAGCAGGCACTTAAATACCAACTCCTCCTATAGCTGCAGATGCCCCGTGGTTTTTAAAACACAGTATAACAGAAAAGAACCCTTTCTAGGTATTGGTCTAGTCTGGCACTTAACCTGGACTTTGCTCCTTGAATAATGTAACCTGTTTTGCAAAATAAATGTCGTACCCGTATGTAATCTACCAAACTAGATGGCCGAGGCGTGAGGGCTCGCCTGTAGTCGTGTTCCTGTGTGTGTGTGTGTTTTCCAACAGCCGTACTGTCCCCTGTAGTTAAGAGTATGCTTTGTAGCAGCAGAGCCGTAGAAAAAGAAAGCAATACTGTACATAGAATGATCTTTATATTACCCAATCAAGCATGGGTCTCTCTCTTACGAAAGGGTGCATGGAGAAGGGCTGGCAATGTTGAAAACAAAACAAGAAACCCCCAACACCTGTATTTGCACGTGCAAAACTATACTGGGTCAAATTAAGGGTCCCCCCCCCTTTTTTCCTTTTACCAAGTGTGAAAGAGAGACACAAAGAACATGCATGGAATATTCAAAAGATATTAGACTAGAAGATAGTCCGTAAAGAAAATTTTAATATATTAAGTTATAATTGGAAAATGTTTGAAATCTTTCTTACGTTCCTCCTACCTTTTTAAAAAAATAGAGAAAAACAATTTTAGCTTGTGTATATTTTTTATTAAAGAAACCATACCCTTCTCTAAGACTATATAGAAAGTTATATACAGTACTTTTGAACACATTCTGCTATGAATTATTTATATAAGCCAAAGCTGTATGGTGTCGCGCTTTTTTTTTTTTGTAGAATATAGTTTTGTTTTTTGATTGTCTATTTTTTTGGTCTTTTGTTTTTAGGGGAGGAAGGAAAAAAAAATCTTGCAGGCAGAACCTTGGGGAAAAATAAGCCATGAATACTTATTATTCTATATGTAAATTTAAAATTTGAGCCAAACTTTGTGTATATAGCATCTTAAATATATTATCACCTTTTGGTGTAAGTACCTATGTATTGTACGTTCGCCAGATTAAAAAAGTATATTTTTGTGGATTGACGCCAACTTGAAGAAAAAAAAAAGGCGAGGTCCTTATTAAGTAGAGTATTCACTGTTTAATATTTACTATTTTGTTCAATATACTGTACTTCCTTTTGGATTTTAATTAATATTATCCAGATTTTTTCAGAGGGTGTTTTAAAAAGGGGCCGTTCCCCACTCACTGGTGGTGAATGTGTGTTAAAACATTTTTGTGCTGTATGGTAAGGCTTCATAATACATTTTATAAATATATATATACATATATGTGTATATATATACATATATAAATATATGTATATAGATAGCAAAGTGATACCCACCCTTCCAATCCCATCCAGAAAACCTGGTGTTAAGTTCATCCTGCATAAATAGAAAATAAAATGCATGGGGGGGGGTAAAGGCTGTGGGTTGTTGCCAAGGTTAATCATACTCAGAGTTGACTGATTTGAAATTGACATGGCTGACTTAAAAGTCAACTAATTTCAGTGGGTCTATCCTGAGTAAGGTGGTTACAACCTGTTATTTTAAAACTGCCTCTTTGGGGATGGGGGAGATTATCTTATTGTTCATGCTAAAGTAGCAGAAACATACATCAGAAGCAAAAAATAAAAGGGTTTTGAAGTGGTGTGTGGGTTGGGGACAAAGTGTTTCAGAAGTTTCCTTTTCTTAATGCTCGGTATCCTTTAAATAGAGCACCACCTCAAGGGATGTGGCTGGTCAGTGCTTTGTATGTGTGGGGGGTAGGGGGCTCTGATTCTACAATCGCAGCTTGAGAGCTCTGCTTCTCATGATACCTGTGGAAGCAACACGTTTTCTGAAACATCTAACTGCAGGGAACGACAGTAGGCCAGCAGATCCCTGTGGCATGTTTACATAACCAAGCATGTTTTGTGATGCATATTTGAGTATGTATGGGCTACATCTTTAGGGCTAAACTAGATATGGTGTTGAACGTGTCCTTGCATTTTGATGTGCACGCGTTTTAAAGCAGGGGTCGGCAAGGCTTACTGGGCATGAGCCGGATCGCTCCCGTGGAGATCCTCCTTGGGCTGGGCTGGTGCAGTGCGACGCAGGAACTCACATCTGTGCATGTCCGCGGTGCCGGAAATTGTTTCTTTGCATGCCCAGACACCGAAAATCACGCCTGCGCAGAAGCGATTTCCGGTACTGCAGACATGCACAGAAGCAATTTCTGGAGCCATGGAAGAGAGTCCCTGCGCCGCACTGTGCTGGTTTAGCGTAGCACGCGGGGACTCGCCTAGCGGGTGGCTCGGTTCGGGGGCGGCTCATGGGCTGGTTAAACGGCCTCCATGGACTTCTTCTGGCCCATGGGCTGCAGTTTGGGGACCCCTGTTTTAAAGCATTCAAATTGGTAGAGGTAGGATTTTAAACCTCTCTCTCCTGTTTGCAGTTCTTGACTCTTCCAAAGCTGCTGTTTGCATTAGGAGAAATGCTCCCATTGATATTTATTATTATTATTCTTTATTAAATTTGCATACCACCCTTCATCCGAAGAGCCCAGGGCGGTTCACAACCGAAAAATACAAAATGAGAATGCAAAATCTATAATAAAGCAAAAACAGGTGCACTTAAAGTTTAATTTACTGTTGCATTTGGCTTGGTCTTAATGAGCATACATTGGCCGTGCATGCCAAAGTAACGCATGCAGTAGCTGAACTCCCCCCCCCCCAAAGCCCTTAACCTATTATAGGAGAAAGTAAAGCCTTTGTTACCTAGAAATCAGGATTTAAAACAACCTAAACTCTCTCTAACTTTTGGCAAAATATCAATAAAACTAAGCAAGAACCAAGAGTTGAATGGAAGCTCTCAATTTATTTTTTCTGTAATATATCCTGAAGTGGCTGCCTTAGTTATTTATTTTTAAAGATAAGCAAGGTATGGGCAAAACTATGCCCTGTATAACTCATTTCACCTATAATTCTTCCCCACCTTATGTAAAAACTGTACAAACTGGTGGTGGATTATGTGCTTTATAGCTGGCTCCGATTTAGTTTTCATTAATGGTTCTGTAAATGCATAAGCTTCTAGGCTCTCTCTTTCTTAGAAGCATTTTGAGGAACTAATGCACACTAGGTACTGTTACTTCTGTCTGGATAGGGTAGAGCAGAAAACGTCCCAGTGGTCTGTCAGCTTCCTCCCTCCCCCCCCCCCAAAAATCACACTTAACACAGAAACCACACCACCACTTCATAGATCCTTTTGATGCTTCGGATTGGTATGATTCTCCTGCACTATTTATGCACCTACATGAACTTTGCTGTACATTTGAATGGGAGTTCTTCATTTCACATTTACTGTCTGATTTCTTGTGTGCCTTAATGAGATGGCTTTGCTGACTGTATCCCAATAGTCTCTTATTCCTATGCAGGTTTGTAACGAGTTACATCAACTTTCCCCCCCGTTAAAAAAGAAAAAGATATAGTTTGGGCTTTGTACTTGAATCGAGCCAGCCAATTTTCTTTCTTTCTTTCTTAAAGAAATAATAATAATCAGTTCTTAGAGTCAGACTGTTAACTCTCAGCTAATCTCCTTGTTCCAGGATCAGGTCCTATTCATTGTCTCCTGCAAAAGAGCTTTACATCATGAAAACAAAACATGCTGACTTTTTTTTATGTAATTAACACTAATAATGTAACTCTAGATGTTTTGAAAGTCTTACACAGAGGTCCTAGAGATAAAGATAGTTGCAGCAGGGCAGAGGATTGTGTGTGTGCGCAGCTCTGTCCTGTACTTTGGCATGGGAGAGAGTCAGTGTTTCTATGCTGTCATTTGCTATTCCTTCGTACCAAATACTAGATTTTGCACTGAAGCACCTGGCCCCATAACGGCCCAAAATGCCTTTAGGCTGGTACACTGATGAGCCCCCTTCCCCAGGCCCACTGCACTGCTCCATTGAATAAAAACCTTAATATTGCAAGGCACAAAGTTAAAAGTCACTTAGCAGTAGGCTTCTCCCCCCCCCCCCACTGGTGAAATGTTTTGCACTAGTAAAACGTTGTTGCACAAGAGAATTCGTAAGCAGGTTGCTAGTAATTTGGTTGTGCAATAGATTGCGACGTCTGTTGCGCAACAAGTTTCTGCTAGCGCAACTGCTGCATCAAATTCCACCTGCTAGCACCAGAAACTTTGTGCTAGTAGACAGAGCAATGGGGTACAGCCCCAAGTGTTGTAGCTAATGTGGCAGCAGAGGCTTTTGAGGGTCCCACTTTGGCCAGAGTCCTCAAACAAGCTCTAGTTTCTGAGCAGAAGTACCTCATGCTTCTTAGAAAACCATTTTTGCAATATGAAGGGAGTTAGGCTATATCATTGCAGGGCAGAGGTCGGGGAGACAGAAGAGGGTGCTATTTAAACTTGCTGAAAAATCACACTGGGCACCTGCAGGTCCTTTGCTGTACCCAAAGTAGCTTTACATCTCTCAGTCCCCTTAAGCCCAAGGTTTTTAGGGCAACTGTTTGAAGCCATTCCAGATGCGAAGGGAAATACATGGTGTAGTTTCTGCGTCAGGGGAATTGTTGCTTGGAAGAGCTCCTGTGCCACACTCCCTATTTGGGAGAAACTGCCATGCCGGGCCTGTTAGCTTTTCAAATGCCGGGTGCTTTCAAAGAAGTGACAATCTCAACCTCTGTCCTTAACAGGTTCTGAGGTGCTACTGGCTCTTTAAGAGGGCTGTACCACAGGTCTTGCTAAGATTCAGCTTTTGCAAATTCAACAGCAGCTTGTGCAATGAAGTTATTCAAAGACACGCACCCCTTTTATTTTTAGAACCATGGAATATTGTGACAGTAAAAATAAATAAAGTGTAAATAGAATCAATGGCATTTTAATTGAAGGTTGCAATTGGATTAAATCTTGTGCAAATCCAGATTGCTAGAATCGGGGTCAAATGTTGCATATGGTGGACATAGCAATACTGACTTGTTCGTACCTGGTATCTCTCTTTTTAAAAAAAGAAGTAAGGCATGTTGGAAATGCTTTAGCCTTTAAACTATAAAGGACACTAATGCATTGACAAGTCTACTGTGCGCACAAGAAATATATAGTAAATAAGGAACATAAATGACTCCTGCCAAATCAACCATGGGAAGAAGTTTAAAATTTAGAATGTGAAAAGACTTTAAAAAAAAATATTGGGAAATTTCCTCACTTTGCTGTGCAAGAAAACACTGCTTTGCTATATTTAAAAAGAAAAGCTTTTTTAAAAATAAGAAAAAATATATGTATTTGGTAAATGTTTGTAGTCAACAGTTCACAGACGAAGCTGTTTGCGGTTAAAGCCGTCTGGCGGCACAAGCTGGACTTTGTTGCCATCTTTGAGACGAATCTTTAAGAAAAAAAATTAAGTTAATCTTTTTCCCTGAATGTGGTGTTTTTTTCTTCATTATACAATAAATATTCTAGTGAACTTTTTATCAAATGGTTAAGAAAATGCTAGAAGTTGTTGTAAAATATTTGTATCTTGCATTCACTAAAGTAAAAATACTGGCTTTTACTGTGTATATCGGACTCTCTCTCATATTTAAACTGAAGCTCTCAAATCTTTTTCCCTCTGTCAGCACCTAAACTTGGATTTGGTCCTGTTTCCTTGCCTGTAAAGATCCAGACTTACAGGTACAAATGAAGCACTTGCATATATTTGAAGGTATATCCCACCCTGCATTCCAGTTGTGAGCCAGGTAAAACAAGATGGAATAAAAAGTGTTTCCTTCTGGCTTAAACTTCACTGTTTAAAGAGGAGTGGCCCTCCAGATGTTGTTGTACTGTAGTTTCCATCGTCCCCTAACCATTGGCCATGCTGGCTGGGACTGATGGGAGTTGGTGGTCCAACATCTGGAGCTCCTTGGATTCTCTGCTTCTTTCACCTTTTTTTTTCCAAATGCATGACTAGCTTTTAATCCTGGTCTTCAACATTTGTTTCCAAGGTTCATACTTATCCCCTTTTTCTGCCCAGATGCCTAGGTTAAAAAAATAAATAAATCAGTTGCCTGTGCAGTGAATTTTGGCTGCTCCCCACCCCCACCCCTGTTTGCTTTTAAGTAGTTGTATAGAAGAGGGAATTTTTACAAAGGCAAGCAGTCTTCCTTGTGTTGTCACTCAATTTTCCCCCAACTTTTTTTTTTAATAAAAAAACCCTTTTAACATGTTATGCAGACATGGTGGGGCCTACTTGAATGATATAAAAATAAGCCTGTTTTCAGCCATGCGTCTAGAATTGAGGATCGCATCCTTAGAAACTTGCCTGTGGAAGCAAGTCTTCAATTATTGGTTATCATTGTGGCATAGATTACCAGACCATTACCTTGCCCAATGCTTATGGCGAGATGAATTCTCCAGCCTTTGGACCAGTAGAATTCATGCCAAACTCCTGAGCTATGGAATCTCTCCTTTAGATTCCCTAAAACTAGATCAAATCACTGCTCAAAGACTGATCCGCCAAAGACTGGATGACATCGATTTACAGCAAAATTATATGCTGGGGAGGTGTTTGTTCGCCCCAGAACATTGGTATCACTTTAACTTACTGCGTTCCATCATACCTCTCCTCCCTTTCGACTGTTGCCCATAGGCTGGCCTTCACCAAAGCGAGGTTTAATGTTTTTCCTCCAATGTCCTGAGACATAGATTCTCAAAGGGCCAAACCTCCGCCATGTGCGAATGTGATAAGGAGATGCCGGAGTCGCTTCAGCACATTATGTTCACTTGCCCCTTATTTAAGGTGCCACGGGCAAATTTGTTGGGATCAATCATACAGAAATTAGAGGGTACTCCACCAAAATTCCACCTTGCCCAAATCTTGCAGGATAAGGATGCCCATACGACCCTGAAAGTGGCTAGGTTCCTGGTCGCTGTCCTTACCCAAAAACGTTGCCAAGGAGCACCACAAGCTAATTAAGGCGTAGTATGCCATTCCATCTTATAGTAGTTTATTGTTATAGTAGTGTTTCAGCGGCTGTTTTTTCCCATGTGCACAGGCTGTTATTTATGTCTTGTTTTTATCTGTATGGGCCTACGGCCGTAATAAATTATTATTATTATAAGCCTGTTTTTATCTGGAACATGTGGTAGACTACACCTGCATGAACTAATAGACACACCCTTCCTGTGTCCATTTGTTCATCAGTGCCTCTGTTATTCAGTAGGTGGCGAAAGATGCTTTCTGCTGGCCTAGTTTTAAACTTCACCACTGAAAATGACTTGGGTTTATTTGGACTGAATCATACCTTTTTAGAAAAGCTGATTCTTGCTCTCACCTTCACCTACGTGTTAGCTTTACTTCCTGGCATGAAGAGCAGGCTGGATTTATTAGTGGCTCCAGAAAATTTGTTGAGTTCCTTGGGCTAAAAATATTCAAGAGTGTAGCTACAGATGCTTAAAATCAATTCACTGTTGTTTTTCTTAGCTCTCACAAATGCCTGTAAGTTGACTCTTTTTTTTTTTTTTTTGCCACCTAAACCTGATTTTTGTGCAACTTTGTGTTAACTAATAAAGTTCTAAGATCCTGAACAGAGCTGGAACAAAGCACTTAACATTATTTACAAGATTTGTGGCCCCTGTGAGTAGGAAACAAGGAAGCATCAGGCATAACTTTTCCAATAGGAAGTATCCTCCACTTTGGTATACTAAATGTTCTTTCAAAAAACAAAACAAAACCCAAGTTCTCTGCCAGAGACCATAAACTTTTTGTATTAAAACTGACATAAATCCAATTGTGCTAACTTTGAACATAGTATTTAAGAACATAAGAAGCCCATCTAGTCTAGCATCCTATTCTCACAGCGGCCAAGCAGATGCCTATGGGAAACCCATAATCAGGACCAGAGTGCAACCCCCACTCTCCGCACTTGAAATCCCTACCCACTGGTATTCAGAAGCTGGTGGGAATTGTAGCCCAACAACATATGGAGGGTAACACATCGGCTATTCCTGTCTTAGGCTATAGTCAGTGTTCCTGTCTTAGGCTATAGTCAGTGGTCACTTGATGGGCTGAGCAATGTCTGGTTTTCAACATCGTGATATGTCACCAGCTAAACATTGCGATATACTGCTGTCTGAAATAAGGATGGAACTACGTAGAGGCCAATGGGGAAACGTCCAGGCAGCTGCTACTACAGTGGTACCTCGGGTTACATACGCTTCAGGTTACATACGCTTCAGGTTACAGACTCCGCTAACCCAGAAATATTACCTCAGGTTAAGAACTTTGCTTCAGGGTGAGAACAGAAATCGTGCAGCGGGAGGCCCCATTAGCTAAAGTGGTGCTTCAGGTTAAGAACAGTTTCAGGTTAAGAACGGACCTCCGGAACGAATTAAGTACTTAACCCGAGGTACCACTGTACTTAGGAGTCTAAAACTGATACATTTTTACTTAACTTTAACATATTGTTACAGCTGTTATTTTATAGTACAGAGCAACATGGGTGGCAGGAATCATGAGAGAAGTGATGGATCCATAGCTGTCAACTTTTCCCTTTTCTTGCGAGGAATCCTATTCGGAATAAGGGAATTTCCCTTAAAAAATGGGAAGCGTCAACAGCTATGACGATGACCCGATTACGGTTTCCCCACACCTTGTTTTTTTACATAGCACACACACACATCGTGATATCACCATGCCGACTGTTATGAAACTTACCACGATGTGGACTTCAAACTGATTTTGGACGATATATTGTTACATCACTCAGCCTTAATGGGCACTGTACCCCAAACAGCTGGAGGGCATGACCACTGCTACCCTCTGCTCTAGACTGGCTAAGGATGCCTCTCAAATGTTCTCTTATTGTTCCCTATGTGTACTCTGCCTTTAAATTTCTGTGCTAAAGTAATCAGGATTCTCCACAAAGAAAATCTGAATTATGTGGCCTGCATACGTTATGCAAACTTTTTAATGTTTATTTTTGCTAGTGGTGGGAAGGGCAAGGACACTGAAGCCTAAACCACTAGATATGTCTCCCACTTAAGTTTCAATGTCTGATGATGTACAATTTTTATATATGCCGTAACCCACCCAGAGTGGCTGGGAAAACCCAGCCAGATGGGTGGGGTATAATATAATACTAATAATAATAATAATAATAATAATATAATAAATTATTGCCACAAAGACTAGAAGCTTTTTAAAATGAAAGCTGAGATTGTCAGGAAGCTGATTTCTGCAGCCATTAGTGTATTCTCTTTTTTCTGTATGGAGCTGTGCCGAGTCCAGACTCTATTGCTGAACCCCTTAAAAAAACAACAGACATTGCAAGACAGAGAAGCTTGGTGAGTCATGCCTGATCCTTGGCTGGGATTGACATGTGTCTAGCCAACATGAGAAACTCCATGCAAGTATTTTTAAAGGTCACTGCTCTGGATTTCCTATCTTAAAAGTCTTGTTTGTTTTTATTTATAGCTATTTGATTGATATCACAGAATAAAAAGGGGCTTCTTGCAGAGTTTTCTGAACACAGTCCTCACCTTCCGCTCTGCCATACTGTTCTGGACCAAATTCCTCTTTGTTGTAACTGCGTTGTCAGGTTTGCTGCAAGAGAGGTGGAATGGAAATTAATACTTTGTGCTCTGGCCCGAACATTTAGGGAGTGTCGTGTTTTGCTGTCTGAAAGATCTGCAGCTGAAACAGATTTAGCCTGTTTTCCATTACGATGAGCTTTTGCCAGTTTCCATGGGCATGGAAGACTTTGGGAGTGATTAAAGTGTGTGTGTGCGCGCGCATGTGCCTCCTGCCCCACTCCCAAATTAATGCTTTATGGAGAGAAGTAAAAAAAGCCTAGGTGGTAATAGCTTTTGTTGGTCTGAAGAGTGACGGAAGCCAGCTGTCACAAATGGCGCAGTTTAGCATAAAATAAAGACACAGAGAGCCAGCAATATTTTCAGGATGGTATGAGCAGCTCCTTTCGAACTTCTCTCCTCTCCGGTCTCTTTTATTATCCTTTGTTCTCTCCTGTCGCATGGCCGTTTGCCAGTGTCTCATGTTACCTACATCCGGTCATGGCTTTAACCCGCCCATCGCCATATAAGGTTATGCACTTAATACACTGCAAGGCACGGACATGCAGGTCACTGAGGTCAGCGAGGCACCAGGTGGCGCTACAAGCCTTTGCCATGACTTCATGGCTCCCACATGCCCTCTTTCTTTATATTATTAATCAGAGTCATATATATCAGTACCAATACGGTTATATCGAGCGCGATAGGCGACTCTTGTGAGGCCAGAAGCAGGCCGCTGACGGGAGAACCATGCAGTACATATAGAAATTAAAGAAGGAATACATTGTATACAGCAACACAAAATAATGCAAATAACTACTATTAGGATCACTAAAATCAATAAATGTCGAAGCCAACTCCCATCTGGAAGCAAGAATATAACCATGCCCATGGATCAACGGAAGGCGGAGGAGCAAACGGATTGTGAGCTACCATGGTTTCCATATGATCAATCGTCGCAGATATGCTGACATTATTATCAGGAATAAACATACAACAATGAGAATGAACAAGTGCACAAACTCCTCCTTTTGAGGCTAAAATCACATCCAAAGTATAACGATTCTGTAAAACCACCGCTCTCATTGCAGACACATCCTGGTTGAGATTCTTCAAAGCTTTTATGGTATCATTGAATAATCCTTCAGTCCAATTTGCTAGCCGATAGAGGTCTCTATAGTTCATTGCTGCGCCCACTGAGGGCAGCAAGGCCCGAGAGATCTGGGTACCGATATATTGATTTATGGGTGAATTAACCTCCCAACGATTTCGTAGTCTAAGAGAAGATGGTAACTTATCAACCTTATACAACAATGGAACCACGAGACCCAATGTACATGTGCCTGTGAGGTTTCGAGGAATGGCTTTGTATGCTTTTTCGCCACAAAGCAACCATAACTCTCTTTGGAGTAAATAGCTGATATTACTACTCTGTTGGGACCAATTAAAGGCTGCAGTAAATAAGGAACTGATATGAAATTGCTCATCTGTGGCATTTGCTAAGCCAGGGATAGAAGAATTCAGACTCCAATTTGCATGGTAGGATTCTTTCCTAGTTTTTAGCCATGCACTGGTATCGCTTCTATAGCACTGAGATTGGTCACTGTATGTTCCTGTAAGAGAACAAGAGCTATTAAAAGTGAAATTCAATGTATATTGACAGTTTGGATATATGCCCCATGATTCTTTCCCCTCTTTAATTTGAAAACAAATGGGGGCAGGCTCATGGAGGGTCAATTGTACTGGAGGCCAAAAAGTTTGCTTAGGGGATATAATATTAGTAAATTGAAAAGATCCATTGACAGGCACACCATGAAGCATAATGCCTGAATGACATGTGCATACACAACCAACATTTAGAAGCATGCAATAAACCGGTAAACATAATCATATCTTGTACAAAAATATTATCCCTCCATATCTTATGATAATTTTCTCCCTAAAAGTCTTATTAAACAACGCTGTTCTTCTAGTTCGAAAGTGGCTGAGCCGTGTATACTGCCAGCCAGAGTAGGATTCAGGCGACAGCTGCTTGCCAGCCGATGAGGTGAAATATGGTGGTTTCAACTGGACTGGGTCGTCTGCTTCTCTTCCTTGTATAACGGTGCAGCAAAGGATGGCAAGGCAGATGGTGAGGAAGGCAAACACTGCCAGATGCAGCTCGTGTGCAGCACCTCTAGGTGGCGCATGCGGAAAGGTTTCAATGCTTCACCCACAAAATGTTGACAAAGTGTAGGGGAGTTCTGCATGCCCTGAGGCAGGACAACCCACTGATATCGCTGGGTGGGCTGCGAATTGTTATATACTGGCAATGTAAAAGCAAACCGTTCCCTGTCTGCTGGAGCCAGTGGGATGAAGATGGTTCAATGTGGCCGAAAGTCAATTGTTCAGAAATAAGCTGTTCAGAAACAAGCCGGTGCCGCTGCTGCTGATTTTTCTTTTGGTAGAGGCCACTGTTCTACCCCCACTGGGGTATCGGTGATCCTGGTTTGCCACACTGGAAACAAGTTGTATCGGTGGCTACAGGCTGGTTTTCATTTAGCGCTGCTGCCAGCAGATGAGCCTTGTGGGTGGCTGTACCTACAGACTGACAAATGCGAAGCATGGCTGCTGTGTCTGTGGCAGGATTGTGTATTATCGGTCGTAATGCAAGTTTACAATCCTCATTGGCATTTTCAAAGGCCAATTGTTTGATGATTATTTGTTTGGCTTCAGGATTTTCAATTTGGCGACTCACTGCTGTAAGCAGCCTGTCCATAAAGGAAGAATATGATTCTCTTGCCTCTTGCCTGATTGAACCCCACCTTGATTGAATACTGGGTTCTGGGATTTTTCTCATTGCTTGTTTAGCAGCAAGAGCGGTGTCCCTCAATAAGATTTGCAGCAGTGTGGCTTGCACTGAAGCCTGAATGAAGGGACCACGCCCCATCATGGCATCTATGACATCTGCGAGGGTAATATTTGGATTATTTCCTCTGACTTGTTGTAACAAAGCCGGAGCATAAGCACGGCAGGCAGTTTCCCATTCGTGGGCAAACAAAACACCAGCTGATGGGGGTAACACTGTATGGGCCAAAAGCTTGATGTCCTCTGGAACCAAGAGCTGGGCTAATGTGGCTTCTAAAAGCGCCTGCGTATATGGGGCTTGGAGTCCATTGGTCTTTACTGACTGCTGCAGCTCTTTCAAGATCTTAAAGTCAAAAGGTTGGTGTTGGGCTTGAGTTCCTGCTGGAGCGCCAGCAGGGGGCACAATAACAGGGAATGCCATAGTATCCTGAATTAAGGAACAGGCAAGGACTGCACGTTGAAAAGGGGTAGCTGGTTCTGCCGCTGAAAGAGCAGGATCATTGCCAGCCAGACCACGGTATTTTTGCAGGATTGGGTCCTCTGGTGAGGAACTGTAGTCCGGAGGTTTGGGGTCTGGGGCTGCTGGCAAGGCAAGTATCGGAACAGACGCTAACACAGCAGGCTGGACTAAGGAAGCTGGAGGTTGTGTTGGCAATGCAGCCATGGAGATTTTTTTGGTGATAAAGAGCCCATGGCGTAACGAACCTTGCACCATGCATTTAGAATCCGAATACCAATGCTGGGGTGCCCATGAAAATGTGCACCAATCTTGTCCCAATGTTTTAATTCCCAAGTCCCATCTGCAGGAAACCAGGGGCAATGCTCATCAATGGCCAGAATAAGCTATATCAAATCACCCTCCGGAACTTCCAATTTGTTGGAGGAGAGGAGAAATTGTTAGTCTTTTAAAAATTTCTGTTGGGGAGTAGACAAAGAGCTGCCCATTTTTCTAAAATCGAGATAAAAGAGGGATCGAACTCACCGGGGATCCGAAGATGATTAGCGCTTGAAACCCTTGCCGGGCGTGGTGAATCGATGATATCCGTTGCGTGGATCGAAAAACCTCACACGGTTTTCTTTTAAAAGCCTCAGACGTATTCTTTTAGTCAGCCTCACACAGGGGGCACCACTTGACGGAAGCCAGCCGTCACAAATGGCGCAGTTTAGCATAAAATAAAGACACAGAGAGCCAGCAATATTTTCAGGATGGTATGAGCAGCTCCTTTCGAACTTCTCTCCTCTCCGGTCTCTTTTATTATCCTTTGTTCTCTCCTGTCGCATGGCCGTTTGCCAATGTCTCATGTTACCTACATCCGGTCATGGCTTTAACCCGCCCATCGCCATATAAGGTTATGCACTTAATACACTGCAAGGCACGGACATGCAGGTCACTGAGGTCAGCGAGGCACCAGGTGGCGCTACAAGCCTTTGCCATGACTTCATGGCTCCCACAGAAGAGGCCCTGATCAGCCACAGGAACAGGCAGGCAACTACTTTGGGCTACAATGCTGTTTGCTCAGTTATAGTGATTCAAAGCATCTATAAAACTGCTTTTCAGGGCAGTGCTCTCCCAGTGCATCATGTACAAAAAGAAGAACACAATATACAGTGGCTACACAGGGGGTTGGGGAGAGAACAGTTCCACTGTGAGAGCCATTTTGAATGGCTTTAGGGATAGCCAACGTGATGTCCTTCCATCTCTTGTTGGGACTACAACTCCCATCAGTCTTGGCTACCACAGCCAGTTGTTGGGGATGATGGGAATTGAGTCCAGGAAGGCAGTGGGCCACTTGCTCTCTTAGCTAGTCACTGCCTCTAGGCCTAGCCTACCTCCCATTCTTGGTGTGAGGATGAAATGGAAAGCAGGACCGCTCTTTATGCCACCCTGAGCTCCCTGGAGAAAAGGTGATGTTTAAATCGAACAATAAATAAGCAAGCAGCTAGAGGGCTCCACATTGGTTATGGCCACACCTGCTAGTTTGGGAAAGGCAGCCTTGAAGAAATAGATTTTCTTTTCTGCCTTTTGTGTTTGCCATCTTACCAGAAGGACCTCTGGGAGCAATGGGTAGAAACATATGGCTGAAGGCGCTGAAGTCAAACTTGCAAATGGAGCCAATGTGAAAATGGGAAGAGCCTCTCCATCTGTATTCAGGAGGGAGGAGATTCCCTTCCACTGATGTTTAGAACCATCAGTCAAGGCTTGGGGTCTTATCCCTGGTGCTTGCTATGAAAAAAATGGGGCAGGAGTGCCCACATACGACTCTTTGCCTGCCTTGTATACCCCACCGTTCCTCCAAAGAGCTCTCAAGGTGGCCTATATTCTCTTCCTCCCTGTTTTACTCTCATAGCAAGCCTTTTACGTAGGGTAGGCTCAGGCTGAGAGGCAGTGGCTGGCCCAAGGTCACCCAGGGAACTTCGTGGCTGACCAAGGATTTCAATCCTGGTCTGCCAGGTCCTAGTCCAACACGCTAACCACTCCAATCCACTGGCTCTCCCCTTTAACCTTTGTATCTGTCTTAAAAGGAACAGCCGTTATTTAGTTCAGCAGTGGCTACAATAGCCTCGTCAGAGAGGGCACAGTGCATCAGACGATTGGTCCATCTTGTTCAGTGCTATTCACAGACTGGCCGTGGTTCTTCAGGCAAATTTTCACAGCCCTGCTTAGAGACTGAACCAGGCACCTTCTTCAGGCAAAGCAGAGGCTCTTTATCACTGAGCTACAGCCCTTCCCTAAGCAGTGATGGTGGAGAGGGTGTGGAATGGGGAGAAGAGAGGATGAAGATCACCAGCACCACCACCCTGAGCTCATTAGAGAAAGAGGAGGCGATGCAAGTAAAATAGAAATCTTAAACCTTGTATCTCCCACGTATTTGTGTATGTGTAAACCAAGCTTGAGGGACGCGGGTGGCGCTGTGGGTTAAACCATGGAACCTAGGACTTGCCAATCAGAAGGTCGGCGGTTCGAATCCCTGCGACGGGGTGAGCTCCCGTTGCTCGATCCCTGCTCCTGCCAACCTAGCAGTTCGAAAGCACGTCAGAGTGCAAGTAGATAAATAGGTACCGCTCCGGCGGGAAGGTAAACGGCGTTTCCGTGCGCCGCTCTGGTTCGCCAGATGCGGCTTAGTCATGCTGGCCACATGACCCAGAAGCTGTACGCCGGCTCACTCGGCCAATAAGGCGAGATGAGCGCCGCAACCCCAGAGTCGGTCACGACTGGACCTAATGGTCAGGCGTCCCTTTACCTTTACCTTTAAACCAAGCTTGAGATGATGACTAGGTTCTTCTCTCCTTTTTTAGCAGAAGTGTATATGCAAAGAAAGCTTTATTGTATGCAAAGGAAGACTGGAGCTGCTCCTGCCATTTAAGACAAGATGACTTTTAATAAACTGGCAGTTAATTTAAATATATATTTATATAGCCCAGGTGATAGGCTAGGCCTGTTTCCTCAGAAAGACCAAACCTCAGAGTCTTGAAAGAGGCAGCAAGCATAAAATGAGATTTGCCCCCAATAACACAAGGGGGGATATGATCACATCTCCACCTTAAAGTGGCTGTCATACCACTTTAAGAAGCCTCCAAAGCAACCTGGGAGCTGTAATTTTGTCAAGGATGATGAGAGTTGTTAAGAGACACCACCTGCAATTCCCCTCACAGAGCTACCATTCTCAGGCTGGCTTCACAATCAATGGCTCTTCCCAGCGAACTCTCAGCATTGTAGCTCTATGAAGTGAATCATGGTGGTCTAACAACTCAGCACCCTTAACAAACTACAGCTCCCAGGATGCCTTGGGGGAAGCCCCGACTGTAGAATGTAAGGTGCAAATGTGGCCAAAATTTTTATAGCAAAAAGGGTGCACAGGGGAGGAGTGCCCTTCCCCCAGCTGAGTCTGCTTCTGATATCTGGCTGAAGTCTGGTACTGGGGAGCACACAACCTACAAGAGAGTTCAGGTTCTTCACCCTCACTTGCACCCCCTTTTGCTGTTTAAAAGTGAGCCATCCCACCATTCCCTTTGTGACTGACCAGCCACTGTCCATGTCTTGCTCTGTCCTGGTCTTCCTTGATCTCATTTCCAAGTTGAGCTCCTATCAACTTAAGAAGCAACTGATCTGTTGTTGGCTCATCCCAGAACATTATTTCAAAGCAAAGAGACTTTTCTCCAATTTTTGAGGGGTGGGGTAGGGTAACAGACAGAGTCATCCCCCTGACGGAAGGAAGTCTCCTCCTCTGTGGGTTTGGATAGTGGGCAGAGTTTCTTTAAGCACACGGAGGGCGGGTGTCCCCCTCACTGACCCGTCAGTGTTGTTCACAGGAAGAGTTGTGTTGGAGGTAGTAGTCACTTCGAGCTGCTGGGTTTTAAAATAGACAATATAAAACACTGGCAAAATTATTCCTACGAGGAGCATAATGAAAACTGCATTCCACCACTGGATCCCACAGTCTGCTCCAGTACCGATTTCCTTCCTCCCTGAAGGTGACCAGTTTGGTGTTTCAATGCAATAGTCTGTGCTTGGGGAGACACCCAGCAGAGTTGCTTTCTCAATGTCCTGGTCGATCCCTCTGAAATACTGATCGATTTGCTTGGTGTCTTCGGAGCTGCCATTTCCCTCTTTGGACCCTGACGGTTCAGCAGGCAACAACAGACCAGCTCTCTGGGCAGGCAACAACCCTTCCTGGGTCTCTGTTAACATGCCGTTGACCTTGACTGGAATCCTGATTGATTTTAGCGCATACAAGTCTTGCTCCTGGATGAAGTTGTTGACCCGCTTGATATCTGCAACCTAAGAGAATTCAGAAAGGGGAGATGGGGTGCGAAGTCAGTTATTGAGCTCTTTTTTCATTGTATATAAACAGCTCCTTCTAATGCAAACATTTACTTCATGAATCGCTTCTAAGGGGACATCCCAAAGCAATGTGCAGTAATATAGTAAATGCATATATCAGTGTTGGCCAAACTTGGCCCTCCAGATGTTTTGGGACTACAGTTCCCGTAATCCCTGACCACTGGTCCTGTTAGCTAGGGATGATGGGAGTTGTAGTCCAAAACCAGCTGGAGACCCAAGTTTGGCCCACACTGGCATATTTGAAAGAGTTTCATATATAAAAACAACTGCATATATAGAAACAATTTTTAAAACACATACATAGAAGAAGCAGTTTAAGACAACAGCCGTACACACACAAAATCAGTTCAGATCCAATGCAGTGACCATCTGGGATAATGATTTCCATTTAGAACAGGTGTGGGGAACTACAACTCCCATCAGCCCCTGCAAGAATGGCCAATGGACAGAGATGTTGGGAGCTGAGCAGTTTCTGAGGGATGTAGCCTTGAGTTCCTTGAGGCTGGGCAAATGGTCAGATTCGCTAAAAGGCAGCATCCTATGCTGCTGATGGGACAGGGAGCAAACATCCTCTCCTGCAAACCCAAGTACATAGGAAGCTGTTGTCTGCCTAGTCAGACCATTGGTCCATCTAGCTTGGAAATGGCCACACTGCCTGGTTACAGCTCCACAAGCCTACCTGGAAATGCTGGAGACTGAACCTGAGGCTTTCTATATGAAAATCAGGTGCTCTGCCACTGAGCTACTCTTTCCCCAAGTACACAAAATTCAGCAATCCATAACTGGCTACCTTTTTTTCCAGCTGACACTCTTGTTCCAACTTCAAAGACGTTTCACCCAGCTATTTTTACCAGGTGAGTTACAACAGCTAAACAGTTGTTACTCCTCTGCCACCCAAACAACAAAATGATTGGCATGCAAGCCTGGAAACTCCCAGCTTGACTTGGTTGTCAAAGGCTGCCCTTGGGTAGGAGATGCCTTCCCCCATCTTGCCTGTCCATGGAACAGAAGAGAGTGCTCTTCCTTAGCCCTGCAAGACTCTGAGCCAGAAATGTAAAAACGAAACAAAAACCCCACCAGGGACGTCATCAATCGCTTCCAAGGAAGCTGCTTCTTACTTTGCATCCATACTGCAGTGCCAATTTGTTCAGATTGTCATCTTTGCTAACTTGGCGCTCCAGCAGAACCACATCCCCAACTTTCTCTGCGGCAGCGTTGCACCTCCGTTGCTCCTTCCCCCTCGCTCGCAATTCCACGACGTCAAGTTCCTCCTCTGACGAGGAGTCATCCGAATCTGACGGCCTGCTTCTGAACAGGTAAACTTGGCTGCTTGAGAACTTTCGGATGCTGGCAGGAGCCTGGAAGGGCTGAGTCAGCGCCTCACTCAGCCTCATGCTTTACAAAAACCTCTGCAACACATCACAAAGCATTTGGATTATTTTTTTTTAAAAAAATGATCATAAAATGAACAATATACCTTAACAACAGTTGGGAGTCTGGGATGCCACAGATGAAGCTTAGCTCAGCAGCCATGGCAGAAGGGTTCAGATTACTCATTATGCTAAGTAAGCTCTAGGACAGGGACTCAGACCGTGCCCATCCTTTAGATTTTGCTGTGACTCATACTCTGACAACCTTCTTTCTTTTTATCATCTTTAATACTGAAACCTCAAAAAGCACTTTTCCCTTTGGCTATTTCTGTGGCTTCCTGCACTGCATACAGGGTTATGAGAAGGGATGGCGGAATCAACCTATGTCTGGTCTATTGCATATCAGTTCTGCATTTAGTTCATCCACAAATCTGCCGCAGAAAATGGTCAGAACAATCTGTGGATTAAGGGGGAAAAAACCCTGCAACTTTTTTCTTTTGGTATTTAAATACATATTATCTCATTGTACATATTTATAAACTATCATCACCATCATTATCTACCCTTTAAGGTCCCAGGGCGGGTAACAACAATTAAAACACAGTGTTAAAAACAGTATAAAACAACTTACAGAAATAATGTGAGTGCTAAAAATATACACCTCAAATGTCCAGTGCCAGAGTAAAGAGCTGTGTCTTCAGCATTTGTCAAATCAGGATAATGAACGTGCCAGGTGTACCGCTGGGGGTAGGGGGAAGGGGTTCCACAACTGCCACAGACAAAGCCCTTCCCCAGCCATCCCTCCCTGAGCTTCTGAGAACATAGAATGATGAACACTGAAACAGCCTTCTACAATTGGCCTGCATAGCTTAGTACTGTCTACACCAGACATGCTGCGCTCCAGACCTTGTTGGACTCCAACTCCAACTGGCCCCTGCCGCCATGGGCAACAGGGAAGATGTGGGTTGTATTCCAGCAACATTTAGAAGACACCATATTGGTTATCCCTGGTCTGCAGCAGCTGACAACAGCACTCCAGCATTTCAAACAGGAGGACACCAGGGATTGAACCTGGGTCCTTTGGCTTTATTTCTGAGCCCATCCCCAAAGCAAAGGTTGAACATACCTTCCAGGTGCTCAGAGGTCCCCGTGACAGGAGTGACTCTCTGCCTTCCAAGGCTAAAGATCTTTTGAAAACTTATACGCCCTGTTTCAGAACACTTTATATCCCAGGACAGCCTGGCTTGCTTTGATGACTTGTCCACTGGCAAGTTGCGTCGGGGAAGGCTCAGAGTGGCCCCTTCAAAATCGCTTTGGACCTTCAGTTATCCCATCCCTTGATAAATAATCATGACTGGGCCATAGACTCTGCCCCCACCCAGTAGTCTTTCTTCTTTCAAGTCCAAGGACGGAAAATCAGAGCCACATGTTCAGGTTATCTTATTCTCAGGTCTTTGATCTAATCCTTGGGGGAAATTAAGAGCTATGGCTGTTCTCACTTACTAGAACAGATAAGAAGGGCCCTGCTGCCAAATCAAGCCAAAAATCCTGTTTCCAACAGAGAGGAGAGACAGATGCTGCCTCCAACAGGCTCTCAAGTAGCATGAAAGCACCTTCACTCTCATCAGCATAGGATTTCCTTCCCAGGCCCCTCAAGGTCTTCTCCTCTGTACAGCAGGAGAATGATGCCAGATAAGGGGACATCGCTGTTCAACTTTCTATTGTTTCGGCAGCGTGTCCTAACCTACCTGATTATAGTCTCCCAAATCAACTATTCTATTCTGAACTTAAAAATGGAAAGTGTAATGCTGGTGGTCAACAAAAGAGGATCAAAGACTTTCTCAAGGCAAATCTAAAAAAAATGTAATATAAACACCGACAACTGGGAAACACAGGCCTGCGAGCGCTCCAGTTGGAGAACAGCCTTTACCAAAGATGTCATGGGTTTTGAAGACACTCGAACTCAGGATGAAAGGGAGAAATGCACTAAGAGCATTTCTCAGTGATCAACTCCCGCTCAGAAACCTATGCCCCAGCTGTGGAAGGATGTGGATCCAGAATTGGCCTCCACAGTGTCTTATGGACTCACTGTTAAAACTATGTTTATGGAAGACAATCTTACTTGGCTACAAGTGATCACCGAAGAAGAGGGAGGAGGAGGAGGAGGTAGGTGTTGCTTTAACAAAAACATTGCCCTAAACTGGGGGCGGGAGAGAGAAAGGGGACCAATTAAAGCTACCTGCATTCCCCATTACCCTCCAACCAGATCAAAAGAAGTATCCTAGTAGAAAATAGTTGTGCAATTTTGGACTCTGGACTCAATTTGCCACACAAACAGCCTTTAGATGGTAATGTGTGTCAGCACTGCTTGAAGTAAGCTGGCCCTGCCCTCTTTGGGAGCCCTCATGCTCTTTTTGCTGAGTCTCTGTTTGAAAGGCCCACACTGAGGGCACCACATCAATAGCAGCTCCACACATTAGGCAGTAAACAGCCTGCATAAATGTGGACTGTATTATACAGACTCCAGGATGTGCTTAAAAGCAAAACCATATCCCTTCAATTAGTTGACTAGCACAAAAGGGCAACAGGTCCCCCCCCCCAAACCTACTGGGCTAGTTTACTAGATGCACAAACAAAGCTTTAGTTAGCATCCCAAACTATGACACACACATCCTCCACCCCGGAAGTCTTAAGTGCTGCAGTCCTGAATTTCAATGCCTCAGTCATCCTCTGCCTTGTTCTGTGTATGGGGTAGAGGAGTCCTACCTGCACACCTCAAAGAAAGCCAGACAAGTAAAAAAGAAAAACCACTCTCTTCACATCAACACACCCCTGGCTCCTTTTTCTAAGCACCTGGAGTAAAGCGCAAAGATTCCTACACAGGATTTGTTTATTACAATGGAAACTTGTCTGTGTGTGTGTGTGTTTAAATACCCAGGCAAATTCTCTTCTCTGCCCACACTCCCAAGCAATAAAAGGAAACACTTGTAACGTGATCCTGGCCAGATCTACTCAGAGGCAAGTCCTAGTGAATTAATGAGGCTTACTCCCAAGGAAAGTGGGTTTTTAGTATTGCAAGCCAAACGCCTCCAAAAGCAAAGCCTGGTCTACTCAGAGGCAAGTACCACTCACTTAAATGGGGTTTACTGCCAGGAAAGTGTGGGGTTTAGAATTGCAGCCCTTACAAAGAACAGAGGAGCCCCCCAGTTGAAGGGGAACCCAGAACTCCCAGGTTAAAGGGTGTCCCTTCCAGATCAGCTGCTCCTGATCTAATACTACTCCCATCCCCGCCAACCACCATTCAGCCCTACCTGCTTTTATTTGCAGGCGACCTGGTTCCCAGCTGCCCCTCTTCCTTCCTTCCTCTCGCCCCAGCTGCCTGGCCTCACCCGAACTTGCTGTGGGCTGCCTCTTCGGCCGGATAGTTCGGAATGGCCCAGGAAAGGCGGGCAAGAGCAGCGCCGCAGCCAATCGCCTGCTAGAACGGGCAGGGCTTGGGCTTGGTGGGCGGAGGCGGGCGTAGAGCAGTTCCTTGAAGTCAAGTTCGGCGGAGAGGTCAGCGCAGGAACATGCCTCAGGAGGCGGAGGAGGGAAGCGCGCGTTGGCCTTAAAGGAACAGCAGTTCTGTTTGTTTGTTTGTTTTTTAACCCCCTTCTTTCTTTGCTCCCCATAGATATTGGAAGGTGTGGGGAAAGGCAGTTCTCTAGCAGCAGTAGTAGGGGGCTGAGCTTGCTGGGGCCTCGTATGAAGGCCGCTTCATAATTGCTGTCAAGAATATGAAGTAATTGTTGCAGCCAGATTCCTAGGAACAGGGGATGCAGGCTTGTTTATTTACTGCATTTTTATACCACCCTCTCCTCCAAAGATGGGACATGGGTGGCGCTGTGGGTTAAACCACAGAGCCTAGGACTTGCTGATGAGAAGGTCGGCGGTTCGAATCCCCGCGATGGGGTGAGCTCCTGTTGCTCGGACCCTGCTCCTGCCAACCTAGCAGTTCGAAAGCACGTCAAAGTGCAAGTAGATAAATAGGCACCGCTCCGGCGGGAAGGTAAACGGCGTTTCTGTGTGCTGCTCTGGCGGAAGCTGTATGCTGGCTCCCTCGGCCAATAAAGCGAGATGAGTGCCGCAACCCCAGAGTCGGTCAGGAATCCCTTTACCTCCTCCAAAGAGTTCAAGGGGATGCCCTTGTTTTTCCTCCCCTTCCTCGTTTTAGCCTCACAACAACCCTGCGGGGTAGGTAAGGCTGGGGGACAGCGACTCGACGAGGTCACGCAGGTCTGAACCCCCAGGGTCTTTCCAAGCCCTAGGCCTAAAATCAGCTTAGTAAATTTGCAACAAGACTGTAAAATAGCCCAGTATCATTCTTTCCATATTGCTGGTGGAAGGCTGGGGATTTGAACCCGGAGCTCCTAGGTCGTAGGCCAGCACTCTAACCACTACACTGCACTGGCTCTCAAGTCAGGATAACTTTGCATCAATGAAGACAAGGAAGACTTTGCTTAGACCTGCAATTCCTGTTGCATGCACGTAGACACAGAAAATGTTTCCAACTTAATTTTGTTCCTTGCTTTCTATTTTGTGGCATATGTTTGATACAGTACAGACTCCGCTAACCCAGAAATAGTACCTTGGGTTAAGAACTTTGCTTCAGGATGAGAACAGAAAACGCGCGGCAGCAGGGGAGGCCCCATTAGCTAAATTGGTGCTTCAGGTTAAGAACAGTTTCAGGTTAAGAATGGACTTCCAGAATGAATTAAGTACGTAACCAGAGGTACCACTGTACACGTTTACTATGTTCTTCCAGCTTGTCTCTGGTATAAACTGTGCCAGCTCTAGCCAGGGAATGGCTCTCCTTTTTCCAAGAGCTGCGTGTGAGATTTCTGCTGCTCGCATGCAGTCCATGCAAGCAATAATTTTCACATACCTCCCTTTGTACACACATTCTTGAGTTCTTGTAGGGGAACTCCAAGCCCCAGGCCCCATAAACCCTCTGGGAGCCCCTGGTTCTGCTGGTGAGCTTCTGAAGAGACATCTGCTTGGCCACTGTGAGAATGGAGTGCTGGTCTAATGGGCCCTTGGCTTGGTACAGCTGGGTTCTCCTTGGCCTCTGCCATTGTTGGACCACGCAATTGGCCAGGCTATTAGGAGTCTTTTGCTGATCAAAAGAACAATTCAGGTTTTAGCAGCAGACTTCAGACACAGAGCTGGAGAACAACACCCTGTTGTTTTGGAACTGATTGTGCATCACCCATGGCTTTGGTCTGGATCAAACAATATGGCATGCATTAGACCAGCCTTTGCCAACCCAGTGCCCTCCAGATGTTCTGGATCCCAACTGGGTCTGCGTGCTGTCTGGGGCTAATGGGAGTTGTAATCCAAAACATCTGGATGACACCAGGTTGGCAAAGGATTAAATAGGCTTTTCTGGCTTTCGTCTCTTGAAATCTTTCTTTTTTTTAATAGAGCAACATTCATGGGCAAGGCGCTTAAACGTGCAAGTTGAAAGATCTTTGCCCCAAAGACCTTGCAATCTAACCTTCTACACAGGGGATATGTGTGTTCCTCCTCAGTGAATTAATTCCAGCTATCGCAACATCACTGCCTGGGGAGAAGCTGATTTGAGCGAGGTATGTAAATTTGGCGCCTGTCTGTTTACCTTGGCTCTTTCTTTCTTTCTTTCTTTTTCTTTCTTTCTTTCTTTCTTTCACAGAGTTTTAATAAGATGTTCCTTGGATGGAGAATGTTTGTATGTGACAAAACTACTGACAGCCTCTCATGTGTTATCATATGTGTATGCTTTTGGGCCAAAGCAGGCATGACTCTTAACTAAACAAACTTGGGACTCAGTTTGTTTTGGGACCCAAGTTTTTTTAAATTTTATTATTATTATTATTATTATTATTATTATTATTATTATTTTCATTAGATTTCATTTCATCAGTTGCTTTTTACAATAAAAAGTCTCAAAGCAACTTGACAAAAATACAATACAATACGATATGTGACTTTTCAGACTAAACCTTTAGTGCAGCTGCACTGTGGAGCACATCTTCCCTCAAAATTAGACAGGCATAGTTTTCATCCTGTTCTAACACCTTAAAAAAATTACCCAGGCCTTACTAGATGAGCAAGTCTATTCACTGATAGAAACTTGTCTCCATTTTTTGGAACCTTATATTACCTGCTTTGTTGTATGATATTCTATGATACTTCTAAACGTTTAGCAGTTTATCAGTATTTAAAACAAACAAAAACATAATTGTCAAGAGGATGAAGCAGGATAACTCTATGTGAAAAGGTAGACAAATCTGTCAATCTCTGTTTCTCTTTGTTTCTCACTTTTCCAATATTTAATTCAGTTCTCCACATTTCCACATCACTTTGCTGCTATTGCTTTTTAAGTCCACATGGAAAAGGCACCAGCATTTTAGTGCAAATTTCTCCTAATATACACATTCTTGTGTGCAATTTTGCGTAATATTCACAAAACAATTTCCCATTGTATAATGCATTTTTGTATGCTGTTTTCACTTGTATGCACACTTTACCCTGGTAAATTATTTTTTGCACACTTTACTTGACTAAAGAACTGCCTTGCAAAATTTGAAGTGTGAATTTTGAAGGATGGCTGCATTTTGGTTCGTGTATTATTCTGGAAAGTACAAATTAAGTGGGCTTGCCTTTAAATCCAAACTGAGTCAGATTTGTCCTGCCTCCTTATATATAACTGCTATAATGATAATTCTCCAGAGTCCTAGACTGGACTTCCCTTTGTTTTGCATATATCATTCTAAAAACACTTGGGTGTTCTCCAGCCAAGGCTCAGGCTGCAGCTGTTCAAATTGGCATCCAACTTGAAAGCTTTGTCCAGTACTTGCACAATTAGATATTGCAACCCATAAATTGTTGGAGCGATTATTACCTTCGACGTGATTCCTAATCTGGGATTAATAAAAAGCGGAGCCTAGTGAGATGGCAGGTTGTCTTTTTCATCATAGTTGGCCATGTGGGAATCCCTCTTAACGAGATCAGTGGCAAAGAGTCAAGGCATTTTCAGAACTCAAAGGTGGCCAGTGAAAGGGAGGTCTTTTTATAATCCTTTTGTGCTGGTAACCTCTGGCACTTAGCGTATGTGTGTGTGAGTTTTTTTGCAATTTTTAATATTTTGCTTTGTCTAATGCTGTGTTTCCCAAACTTGGGTCTCCAGCTGCTTTTGGACTAC